TGACTGTGAAGCTATCAAGGGTCTAAAGTACGACCGAGCGTAACAATAGCTTAAGAGAGAGTAGCCTAAAAAGGCGAACACATGCTAACCAGAATCTCTGGTATCTTCCCCCCCCCAGACAGTAAAACTTCACGGTTATATACCACTCTTCCTCATTAGTATTCAGGCGTGATTCTAAAACTATGTTCTGGTCTAAAGTGGTAAGTTGAAGTTAAGAAGCGAGAATAGGAAAGTTTAACTCAAAACTTTAATTTATTAATAGAATTAACAAAATTTAATTGTTAATAGAAATAACATAGTAAGCTAGCTACTGCGGAAATTTGGGGGCTCTAGACTTGAAATAGAAAATTGGGGAGCTTAGGTCAATTAGTGTTTAAGAGGATTTATAAGCCTCTGGTATTAATAATCCCTTTGATTTTCCATTGTTATAAAGTATTTGAACTAAGAAATCTTTTGTAGGCTATTTCAACACTAGAATATATTGCATATGCTACATAAAATAACACTGTTCTTAAATGTCAATAATCAACTAGCATAAAATAATAAAACGTTATAATGCGTAAAAGATAGTTTGGGTGAAGGTAGGCTTTCAACTGATGCAAAAACTGAATGTTAGCTAAGTCCTAAATTCACATTATGATTATTATTTGTTAAACAATAATACAACTACTTTAACAGAATTCTAATTAATTATACTATTACAAAGATAACTTGCAAACAAGCACAAATACTAAGAGTTGCTGAGTATAACATAATATAAAGGTAAGATTATACAGAAGTCAATTAAATATGCCCAAGTGCATAATGAAGAAAAGTTAGTGAAGAGGTATAATGCTATCGTTATTGTCACGCTTACTAAACAAAGATGGCTGACACTTTTAGCAGCGAGATTGAGATTAATTGGAAAATAATATTTAAACCGCACTACCCCTTGAAGAATGGTAGTTAGGACAGAAATAAAAGTAAATGAGAATACTAAATAAGCCTAGCGTGGCTGTCTTCGTCCGAAAAGAATTGAAGCACTAGTATTTTTAAACTGAAAGTCAAAAATAACAATTTCTGGACTTGGAAAAGATTCCCATGCATTCTTCGGTCTCTCATAAACACACTAACAGCAACACCACACACCACGTGATTTGCTGCTGTGGAGTATCCATCAACGGTGCGGCTGTGAGAAAAATGGGCACGAAACTTTGGCGGAATGTGGTTATCACATAACAATTTTCAGATGCATTACACTGTTCACTGAATAACGGAATCGCCAAGTTGATGTTAAAAAGTAAAATGCATATCAAAGATTTCTATAGCTATAGTTTCATCAAGAAAAATAAATAATTATTAATTTTAAATACATTCTCCAGAAATCGGTCTAAATAAAAACTGAATTTTCCAGAAAATCTTGTTTAGAAACAATTCGGCACCCCTCTGCGGGCGGCTCCGCAGTCATCATGCACTCCCTTGCCCCCCTGTCACTACACCACTGGATATCATAAGGAAGGTGATAAATTTTTAGAGAGGATTGTCACAGGAGACGAGACATTGGTTTCTCATGTGACCCCAAACATCAGTTAATGGAATGATGTCACACAACATTACCAGTCAAAGTCAAGGCCAAGCAGACAATCTCAGCATGCAAGGTTATGGCAACCACATGTTTTGAGATAGACATGGAATCTTGTTAGTGAAGTTTATGCAGCAACAGACAACAATAAATGTAGCTGCTTACTGCATTACCCTTACCAAACTTAGACGTTGATAGAGAACAAACAATGTGGCCTGCTAACGTCTGGAGTTTATTTGCTGCATGAGTCCAATGCCAGCCCCTATTCTGCTGTTCACACCCAAAATCTGATCAGATCTTTCGAATGAGAACAGATTGACCACCTGCTGAACAGTTAGACTTAGTACTAAGTGATGTTCACTTGTTCCAGTACCTACAGCAGTTTTTCAGTGGCAAGCGCTTCATCACATATGGCGAGGTGAAAGAAGCTGTTCAAGCCTGGTTATCCCCACAGAGCAGCTGACATCTACGACTTGGGCATACAAATGCTGGCAGAATGTTATGACAAACGTTTAATGCTTTATATGCTGAATATGAAAACTATGTAGAAAAATAAACACACACACATATATATATATATGTAATAATAAAATTCCATTGAATGAATGAATGAATAATGAAGGTAATAAGCTGGTACATCACATATATAAAAGTAATTAAATAAAAAAACGTTTTTTGAAAAAATCTGAGATGGTTTATGTTTTATAAGAAATCGTACCTTACTTTCCGATTAATCCATGTGCGTTGAAAATATGCAGCAAAGCCATAAAAACAAATAACACATCTATAGCCTGATGAAAGGATTGCAAAACCACCACCTCCCTGTGTTACCAATGTGGATTTCACAGGTCCTATTTACGTCAAATATGGACATAGCATTCAGAAATCATATGTTGTATGGTTTAAATGTGCTGTTACATGAGCATTATGCCTGGAACTCATTTTCAGTATGTCTGCAATAAATGCATTTGGTTCTCTGACATTTCATTGGAAAAAAGAAGTAACTGTCATACCTTTTATTCTGACTACATGAAAACATTCAAATATGCTGTCACGGATTTATGGTATTTTTACAGCATAATTAAAGAAGCAAACTTTAAAATTTTATTCTGGTGCTTGAACTGTGGTGGGGAGCATTCTATGAATAACTTATGAAGATCATTAGGGAACCAATAGGAAAATATGCTGAGTTCAATTTTAATTTTGAAGAATTTCTGACTGTACTAACAGAAATTGAAAATCTGTGAACAGACATATTTGACCTACATTTACAATGGCTTACATGAACTAGAATTATTTACACCAGTTGATTTTCTATTGATCAGACATAAAATTGAATGTCTATGCAACTTTGCTCAGATCCTGAACATTACCTGAACACTATATCTGAAACTCTAATATGACAAAAGCAAAATCAGACAGTACTTATAAAACAGATTCAGAAAAAATGGAAATATGAGTATGTTCTTGGTTTAAGAAATGCTAATTTCTTCAGGACACATGAAATCAAGAAGAATCAAGTTGGTGATACAGTTTTAATTAAAGGAACAGCCAAGTCTTTATGGGATTTAGGTCGAATAATTCAAGTTTAAAAGGGCCAGTCTTATACAATCATGTGCGATCAAAACTAAAGGAGGGGAATTTAACAGACTTGTGCAGCTAATATACCCCTTTAAATTTCAGACTAAAATATGAACTGAAATTTAAAAAAAAAAACCTTATTTAATATTCTTAATTGCATGTTTACTTATGCAGCTTTTAGTTAATTGAGTTATTACTTATAATTTACTGTTGGTAATTTAATTTAATATTTACATCTTGAGCAACTTTTGAATTTTTATGCTTTTAACCATGTTTGTTAATTATGCAGAATTTCTCTGTTGCTGTTTATGTTTACATTAGGTAAATGTATTTGATATTGTTATGTATGTTGCTTTCTTGCATTTGAATTCATCTCCTTGTATTCTGAAATAGTGATTGTTGAGAAAACCCCCAAACGATTAATTTATAATGCCTTTACAGGGCACTTCTCTTCTGTATATTAAGAATATTAGCTTAATTTACAATGTGGCTTTGATAAGAGAAATACCACCGATACTTTAAGGGCTCTTTGAAACGAATGATTTATTTTTGTATGTTCCCCATCTTCTTCTCTCAAGATTGGCTCATATGAAGTAATATAACTATTTGCTAGTTTGAACATGGTTTATAAAAATGAAAGATTCCATATCTTGCTTTTTGCAATGAAAGAAAAATTACAAGAAAACTAAACATGCAAAATATCCAGGATTCTAATTTCTATCTAGACATAACATTTTACACATTAGAATGACAGCCATTATAAAAGTATGTTATTGAGGGCAGTATATGAATGGCTGATAAAATGCAAACAAAATTAGTTTTTAGGTCACTTAAGGTTAGGTTAGATCAGTGGAATGTGGCAGAGCACACGAGGCCTATAAGCCTAATGGGAGAGATGCCTTCATGGAGAACTTTCTATGGGAAACTGACTCACATCAAAATTACATCAAGTGGGGAAAAACAACTATGCAGTTAGCCCGTTTACTTGGGTTACATTCAGATCAAACTGAAATTCAGCAGTCGCAACCATATAACCTCTGGTGCAGCTATTTCATCTTAGGCAGCTGAAATATAAATATTTAACAGAAAGCTAAAAATCCCATTCTGTATATATGGATGGTATCAGTACACACAGTCAGATCTCTTGATTTAAATCTTAAGCTCTGTTTTGAGAAACTTAAAGTGAAAATTAATAAAGTTTCTTCTAATGTGATCTTCCCCCTCCCCATCAACTAAGACTATATTTAAGCCAACAATAAAAATTTTACATTTTCTTCCTTGTTTGCTTATTATGTATTTTGGCTATGGATTAATCCAGCAGTAAAAATTATAGAGTTTCTGCCTTGTTTGCCTGTAGTGTACTTTGAGAAATTGATACACACCATTGTAAAATAATGAAGTTAGCAAACTACACACTTAAGGGGAGAAACAAAAATTTAAGGGGAGAAATAAAGCAAAAAAGGGAGGAAGTAGAGTAGCTTCATAAAAGCATAAGGGATATGATGTATTCTGATATTATTAAGTACACAGACTTTGCTAAAGATTTATCCTTCATGACAGGTTAAGATAGTTAAAATTCTTTCTTTTACATACTATATTAAAGTTTTAAGTGAAATGTTTATAATACAAATTTATGTCAAAATGTGATAAAAAAGCTTAAACCTAATATTTAAACTTTTTTATGTTTCATTTTCTAAGATTGTCTTTTTTAATTTCCAGTGATTTCTTAAAAGGCTTCAGATCATATAATTGTATACACATGCAAATAAATAAATGTCATTTTCAAGCAAATATGTAACAAAATTCATTTAATAAATAGCATCTGCAAAAACATTTATGCAAATTATTCGATACTCACTATTCAGTTGCGAATATTTATGACGGAATTGTGCAAGTAATTTTTTTGCTTTTTCCTCCTTTTCATTAGCTTTACTTTGAACAGTTTCTGCTGTTTTATTTGCTTGATTGACTGACTACAAAATAAATAACATTGTTAAAATTAAATAAATATATTAAATTTATAGACTTTTCCATTAGCGAAATTATACATCAAGAAAATTTAGAAGTATATTAGGAAAATCAATTACATATAGTTAAAAATAACTCTGAAGATGTTAAGGAAGGAAGAAAATTACATCAAAAGGTCAAATGATAAAACATATGCAATGGTTTGCTATTAATGAATATATTGCAAGGTTAAATCATAATCAAAGCTAGGATTACTTCAGAAAATATTTTAGATTTATCAGAAAAAGTGACAGAAAAGGAATTGATGATCCTCACTCTTTTATTTTAATAGCAAACAATAAATATTTAGAATTTTGTAAATGACAATTCTATTTAATCACTTTTGAATTATGTTATGAAATTCCACATGCATAACTTTTAACTAAAACGAAACTCAATGGCGCAACAACTCTTGTGGGCCACAGTCTGCAGTGCTCCGAAATCTGCTTTCTTGGCCTTGCATCCTGCAGTGCATCAGCATATGCATTGGGCAAGTGGTCAGCTTGTCGCAGGTGTAACAAGCTGACCACTTGCAACTGATGTTTAGTCCCCAAATGAACTTGGTACTTATTTTATCGACCCACTCAAGAGCTGAAAGGCTGAGTTAACCTTGCCCATCCCGAGGATCGAATCCCGGACCTGTGGTGCAGCTGTGCAATGTGCTAGCCACTCTGCATAACTTTTAGAACTTTAAAAGTTTGTTCTATCTCTATTGAAACTAAATGTGGCTTTATTTTACAAGATGACTGCAAACAAAATTTCACTTTAGAACTCTGATTTTTCATACGAATTATACTTTTAATACCAGAATTAATGTTTTAAATCAGCAATTTGACCTTTTGATGAGCTTTTTCTTTATTATCATTAAACATAGCATCATACATAAAAGCCAAAGTATGCTGGTGATGATCCATTTCTTTATTTAAAAAAAAAAAAAAAAAACTGCCTGATGATAGTCATGTGATTCCACATGGAGTTATCAGATTATTGAAGATTATTGAATGGCAGACAAAGGGAGGGTGCTGAACTAATACTCAGCACCCTCCCTTTGTCCCCTATTTTGCTCCTGTTGCTGTTCACTCACACTTGCTCATCATCTTTTCAACAGAAGAACAACAAATATATGCTCTCTCTATCACTTTCAACATTCATATCCATTTTCAGCATATTCTACTTCTATAAATATCTAAACAAGCAGCTCATAGGAGTACAACAAACTCACGTCAAGCATTGCAAAGAAAATAATCACACACACAAAAAAAAAAAAAAAAAAAAAACTGGCAGTTCAGCTCCCTGGTAGGATTATCATTCAGTAAATGCTTTTGCATTTTAAACTTTAAACTTTAATCTTTCATAAATATGAAAGAAATCACTAAAAAATGAAAAAAATGGTTAAAAAAGTTTTCTAAGATTTGTTGCACTCTGCCTACATGGACAAGAGGTGTTTTGCACGTGTTTCCTGTTCATCTGCAGACAGAATATTACAATTAAAATTGAGCCATAGATTACAATTCTAAAACAAATTACCTCCTTTTGTTTTTCAATTTCTTCTTTTAATTCTTTTATAATTCTTTCACTTTCTTCAAGTTTCTTTTGCATTTCTTGAGCAGCCTGCTCTTGGTTTGCTTGATCTGATGACTTTACTTTTGCCATCAGAGTATCGTAATTAACTTTTAATTCATCGTATTGAGTTTTGTACTTCCTACCTATTTTCTTAATCTGTTATAATAAAATAATAAATAGATAAATCACTGATTGCAAATATGTGCACCATTTAAAGTTTAAAATTATTAGTACAATTTATAAAGTGCCACCTATCAGAAACAAAAATATTTGGAATTAATATCTAATGTTTAAAAAATATTACAATGCACATACAAATAATATATACAGGATAAATAGTTTTGCACACTTTTATAATCACGAGATTTGTAATAAATGAATTATATGATCCATTACAAATTTAAGTAAGTGTATTGATAAAACAAGTATTATGTGTTGGAACTTCACCTGAAGCAGTGTTTTCTGATGTTCTACATTATCTTCATTCATTTTGACAACTTCTTGAGATTTTTCTTTCAGTTCTATTCTAGAATTTTCAAGTTCTTTAACAACAGAGGACAAATTTGAAGCAATTTGTGATACTTCTGCTTGCTTCCGTTGCAATTCTTCAGCAAGTCTTCCTTTTTGAGCTTTTAGTTCTTCTATCTCCCGCCTAAAATTAAAATGTATTTGTGTTATTTCATCTACAATAGCCAGTATAATAGTAAAACATATGAAGTATCTTCTTCATATGTATTATACTACAAAACATATGAAGCTATTACATAGCAAACATATGAAGCTATTATATAATAGCAAAACTATATAAAGTATTTCACCCTTCCTTCTGCATACCTTTGTGGTGTAATGGTTAACACACTCAGCGTGTATTCAAGAAGTCCAGGTTCGAGTCCCAGAAAGGGCATTTCCTGTTTTTCACATCTTCCACATAAAAAAATTTCTAATGACTCTACACAAGTGCCCAAACTAAAAGGCATGCATGATGATTTTTCACCACCAGGATTTGGTGAATGGCTCCCCTAATCCCCAGTCACCCTCTAAAAAAGGGTATTTTGTCCCTACTTTCTGCATGCCTTCGTGGCGTAATGGTTAGCACACTGGGTGCATATTCCAGAGGTTCAGGTTTGAGTCCCGTTGAAGGCATTACACATTTTTCACCTCTTCCAAATAAAAAAAAAAAAAAAAAAACTAATGACTCTACAACTAAATTAAGGATACATCTAAAACATTCACAAACCTAGAGAGCCATCAGCTATAACTTACCCAGCATTCAACTTGTTTCATGTTCAATTTTTATTTCAATGAATGATAAATAAATAACATTTTAAACAGATAATGTACACAACACATTCCAGATCTGACAAAATATAGGTAGATTATTTATTATGGCAAAACAGATGGAGATTATCTGTTAAAGGAGACAAATGGCTTCAAAAATTTCTACCAGATGTTACCTTATATCTGCATTAGTCTTTGAAACCATGAAAACATTCAAACTGCTTGTCAGTTTCAGACAGTGCGAGAATATAACAATTGCTTTTTACTTTTATTAGAGCGGTGTAAGGGGGGGGAGAAATAAAATAAAAAAAGGGGCTGTTTATGACTTTAGACATCCAGAATCCATAATAAGAATCCATACTTGCAGAGACCCATTACAGAAACTTTTTCTTACATCCCCCGTGAGATAAATTCGTTCACAGCTTCAACACTTCAGCTAGTCATCAGTAATGGAAATTTGACAGAATCCTCCAATAAAGAAGTGTTGCTAGGATTAACTGATGACTGAAAAGCTTACATAAGTTTTAAAATAAAAAAATAAAAAAATGCTTGCAGTCAGTTCATTCAGTCACAAAGAAATGAACGCAGAATCATTTAACAAAGTTCAGTGGTCTTGGAATTGTTGAACAAATTCTTGATCAAATAGTGAAAGTGAAGTCACTTAGGTGAAAAATCAAAACCCTCCATTTTAACTCAAATCTTGAAGGAATGCAACGGTTATATGAGCCAATAATATTTGAAGAATAATCAAGGTCACCTATTTGACTAACAACTATTTTTTGTTTTTGGACATTTCACAACACATAAGAAAAGCTACAATCAAAGTTCAAAATACTTTTGTACTATTAATAAAAATTTTCAGATACACAAATTTAAAAAAAAAAAAAAAAAAAAAATTATTTCCATCCTTTCTCCCACTTCTGCTACTATGTTGTTTTGTTCTTCCTGATAAAAATAGCTTTCCCTACATATTCATCTCTTAAATTTTAGAAATCACACAATTCAGTTAAAGTGATATACAGGGGTTGGACAAAAATATGGAAACACCTTTAAAAAAACATGTTTCTTTGCTTAATATGGTGTAGGAAACTCGTTGGCATCCAAAACAGCTTGCAGTCTTCTCGGAATGGATAAAAACAGTTCCTGTATGTTTGCCAAGGGAATATTATACAACTCTTCCTGCAAAACGGTGGCAAGTTGAGATAACGATGTTGACGGTGGATAACGAGAACGCACTTTCCCTTCCAATGTAGACCACAAAGGTTCGATAATATTCAGGTCTGGTGACTGTGGTGGCCAGGGGAGATGGGACAACTCATCCTCATGCTCAGAAAACCAGTCCTGGACAATGTGAGCTGTGTGAACAGGGACTTTGTCGTCTTGGAAGACACCATCACCATCGGGGAACAAAGTTTGTACCATGGGACGAACTTGATCGGCCAAAATGTTCACATAAGTCTTGACAGTCATGTGCCCTGACACAGTTATCATGGGGCTAGCAGAGAACCACGATATGGCTGCCCAAACCATAACAGAACCCCCGCCATGTTTCACTCTTGGCAACAAGCAGTCTGTATTATAGGCTTGAGATGGTGTTCTCCAGACGTAAACTCGGCCAGAAGTGGGAAACAATGTGAAAGAAGACTCGTAAGACCATATTACTCGCTTCCACTGCTCTATAGTACAGGCTTTATGACTTAAACACCACTTTTTCCTGTTACGGGCATTAGCATCACTGATGAGTGGCTTCTCGATTGCAGCACGGCCAGCAATTCCCTGTTTATGAAGCTCCCTTCTAATTGTTTTGGTACTCACAGGGTTCAGTAACACAACATTCATTTCAGCAGTAACTTTTGCAGCTGTGGTCTTCTTATTTTTCGTCACAATTGCCCTTAATGATCGTCTGTCACGATCACTCGGGACACAATTTCGTCCGCGCTGTGATATCGCAGATGATGTTTTTCCCGCTTTTCAAATATGCGGAATAATCTTCAATACAGTACCTCTTGAAACACTAAACACCTCGGCTACCTTGCTTACGGAAGCACCTACCATACGTGCTCCAACAATTTGCCCACGTTCGATGTCTGTTAACTCTGACATAATGCAATGACAACCTCACATGACAGTACTCCGACAACAAATGAACTGTTTAGCTCATTTACGAAGTTTTATAGGTGGCGTCAGTAGTCAAAAACGCCAGCGCTACCTTCATATTTCATTAAAATCAATCTTTCTTTTCAAACATGCATTTCACAAGGTGTTTCCATATTTTTGTCCATCCACTGTATATCTTTTCAATTTTTTAATCTAGAGAATAATTACAGTTCCAAAGTTTTTAAATGAGATAGAAAAATATTACATAATAGAGCTAATAAATTCCCTATCTAAATATTTCATAATTTTATATTAAAATAAATAATTACATAAAAATAAACAATATTTTTAGAAAATAATATTTACATCATATTTTTATATTCCTGTGGTCCAATTCTGTGTGACTGCTCCAACAGCTGATTGGTTCTAGACTGCCAACTTTTGACTTCAACCCTCAAAGCAGCATTTTCAGCTGTCAACATATCAATTTGCTGGGTCATTTCTTTTTCTTTTTCACTCAGAGGCTGGAATTTTTCTTGAAGTTCATGCAACTATTAAAAAAAAAACAAAAAAAAAATTAGATTATTTTGACATATGTATATATATTTCTTACAAATATATATATATAAGAAAAATAAATATGTATGTAATGATAGCACAATTTTAGATGCACTGATTTAAGAACACTGTGATATTGACACATAGAAATACTGATGGCGAAGATACTTGATGCTTAAAGTGTTGACCCATACTGAAGAGGAACAAGTCGAGCTGGATTAAAATTCCATATTTATTTTAATTCACATTGGTGACCACAATTCACTTGGCACTCCAATCGTGCCTATTTCCAGAACAATTTTGATACTATAGTGATAGAAGCAAACATAGATGATTGCAGCAGTGTCTTAACAGGATAAAAGCATAAGTGAGAAGGAGAGTTTATGCGAAAGAGAACGCAGCAGTTCAAAGGAAGAAGGTAGGAAGTTGATAGTTTTGGTTTACAATTACTTTGATTGGGTAAGAGATATCTGCATTAAGGGTTACATAAGATCGCATGATTAATTTGAATGATGCAGTTTAGACTTATGGTGTTATTTCTAAGACAGAGTGAGGAAGTCCGCAAATTAAATAAAAAATAAAAGACATTATAGCCAATTAAATTTAGAAGTTTATTTCATGTTTTTTATCTTATACATATATATGGGGGGTAAGATATAAATATGAAAGACAGTTATTAACTTAATTGACAATAGACCTTTTAATTCCTTAATTTAGTTTAGATACAACCTCCTTCAAAGGATCTGTGCTGCACCCTTTTGCGCCGATAATTTTCTTATGATTAGGGTTGCAAACATTATCCAACTTTTGATGTCTGTAATTTCTTCTAATGAAAATAAATTAGTTTGTACACACAAATGTTGACAAATAGGATTTCTAATTAACATATCAGCTTCAACATTAGTAGAACCTTCCTTACACTTCATATCAAAATCATGCATAGATAATTTTAAAGATCATTGGAATCATATACCTGTAAGATGTTTTATATTCTTAAGCCAAACTAAAACAGCATAATCAGTATGTACAATAAAATGATTATCCTGAAAATAGTAATAAAATTTATCGATAGCATCTACAATGGTTAAATATTCCAACTCAGTAATTTGTACAATTTTTCTCATTAGATAACAGCTTTAAAAAATGGAAAGCTACAGGATGTAAATTACCATCCAGATATTCTTGTTTTAAAACTGCACCAACAAACAAATAAATGACTGGGATATACTAGATTAAATAGAGTTCAAGAATGGATCTGGAAACCCGAGGCGTATTTTTAATTTGTAAAGGCTGTTTGGCATTCAGTTGTCCATATATATGGAGAATCTTTTTTGAGTAAATTTGTTACAATCTTTGTACTTGCTTAATATTTTTATGGTGTTGTAATTTTAAATAACTTCAATATATACATAACAGGTTGATATTTTCCTGCTTGAACTTCAAAACCCAGAAAATCTATTTTTCTTTATAGCAAAATGGGACTTATTTAATTTTACATTTTCTTTTTCACATACATCAAGTATTATTTTAACATGTTCTAAATGTTTTTGAAAATTATGGGAAAATACTATTGTGTCATCAAAATAATTCAAGACAAACTGAATTTGGTATTTATTTAAAATTTGCCTAAAAGTTTTTTGAAAAACAGCTGGGGAATTTTGCAACCAAAAGAAGGTAATCTATTGAGTTCATAAAGATCAAAACTGGTATAATATGCTGTTGTGTCACGAATTTTGAAGTGTGTTTTTGTTATTTAAGTAATCAATATTTAAGTATTTTTATTTTTATTTGTTTTAAATTTGAAATTATAAAGAGCATAGTGGAATATATATATTAGTAAGTGCTTAAAATGTTTAGCTAGTAGTAGTAGTTGAGTGTTGCACGTGTTTCGCTCGGGGGGGGGGGTTACTGGGAGGTAAAAGGAAGTCTTAATTGGCATCTTGCTGCACTTTTTCTTTTGTGAATGCTGGAAGCATTAAATAAATTAGTTTCTTCCGGATGAGGGAATTCTGTAATTTCATTCTTAAGGGGCACTTGATTCTTTAGTTTTTCTGCTTAGTTAGAGGGTGGGATTTTGGTTTCTCATGCTTCTGAGTGCAGCTGGTCAACCGTTTCTTTGTACAATGTCCCTATTTTAATTCGTTTCAAGGGGTGAAGTTTCTAGAAAAATAAAAAGAGAAATTATCAGGGAAGTTTAATTTTATGCGCAATTTTTGGACCTATAAGTTTTAGTCGGTGAAGAAAACAAGTTTTCTTTGAAACTTGTAAGGGTGTTCAAGAGAGACGGAATCGAGTTTTAGAGTGGTTCTTTAAAAGGTTCGTGGAGCGTTTACCCTGCTGCGGGGCTTACCCGGCGGGCTTACTTGGCTACTAAAAAAGCCTTTTCCTGCTAAAAGATTAAAAATTTAGAGTTAATTGTAAAGAGCACTTTTCCAAAAACATTTAGCACAGATTACCTCATCTCTAATCTTTACGAACACTCTGCTGGGATGAACACAGCATTGCAGGCGAGTTATTTTAAAATCTGTGAGGAGTAATCTGGCAGCAATGTGCAATGTGGGTTTTAGGCGGCGGTTCCTCGGAGGTCAACAGAAATACACAAGAGGAGCGATGGACTACTAAGGCTTACTTATCTACAGACTATGTTTCCTATCCCCAGCAACAGAGGTTAGATGAATGGTTTTCACCCCTTTCCAGCAGTTAGTTGGAAAAAAAAACGTCTTCAGCCCTTTCCAGCAATTCATGTACAGAATGAACTTCAATGCGCGAGTGATAGTTTACCTGTTTTCTAAGGTGTTGGCCCAAGAAAATAGACTTCCTCCATGAGTAGGATTTTAACACTCCCTAAAGATTATATATTCTGGAAAATCTGTAAGTGATTATTTAATTTTTCTTCCTCTCTGCCTTCTCTAATTCTATAGAAGTAATGATGAAATATATTAATATATATGTGAATAGAAGAATTAAATAGTGATCAGTTAATTTTTAACATGCATGTAAACGAATGACTAGAAAATTTGTTCAACCATTTAAGTTGTGAATTATGGAATTTTTTAAAAAAATATATATAGTATGTTTACTATTAATATAAGTGTAATTTTTGGAATGACATATGCGTTATTTTACCTCTTAAGGTTAATTTTGTAGAATACTGATCAGTTATTCCTACTATCTGAATATTCAAGAAATTAATAAATGTGTTTGGTTAGAATATTTTATGTTCAGTTTGTTATTTTGTGTTACTTGGGTCTGTACAGTCACTCCATTTGTTTGAGCAGTAAAGCTTTTAAGAAACTTGGAGATTTTATTTGGGGTACTGTTAATATTTTAAGTCAATGGGTATCACAACACACTCTTAATTTTTGTACTAACCACTTACTTATAATTATTTGAATGTTATTTCTGGATCAACTGTAATTATTTTTAGGTGACAGGATTGTATTTAAACTCTTGACTGATTTTTCTTTTGAGGAACTGATTTGATTGTTTATGAATATTTCTTCTCTGATGTTTGTGAGGTTCTTGAATTAATGAAACTGATCTTAGTTGCTCTTAAGTTAATTTAGTGAATGATTGAATATGTAGTGCAAGTGAATTGAAGTATAATTTTGTTGAGAGATTATTTTTACCTGAGCACCAGCGAAAACTTATTCCTCCTCGTTTTTCGGGTTAAGATTCCTTATGTGCGAATTTGCATTGATTCGAGTTTATTGATTAAATGAAAAGTGAGTTAGATTAATCACACAGTTCCTCTCCAGTTACTCTTCACAGCTTAAGATCAGAGCTTTCAGATTTGTCCAGCACCAATGTTACGTTCAGTCAGGCAGTTTTTAAAGCTTTAGAAATTTAAAACCTCAAAATTTTCAGCTTCGCAGCAATGCTAATATATCAGTATCATATTCATTTAACTTTATTTGCCAATACACTCGATGCTATGTCTAAGGTAGAAAATACTTTTGCATTCAGTAATTGATCTAGTACTGCATCTATTCTAGTTATGGGTTCCAAATCTGTTTTAGTAATTTGGTTAAGTTTTCTGCAATCAATACATAATCTAGTTTTTATCTCTTTTATGGGCTAAAGTCACAGGTGCTGCATAAAGGTTAAATGATGGTTTATAATACCTGCATGTAATAATTAATCTATTTGCTTTTTAATTAATCATTATCTTTAGGGGATGCTCTATATGGTCTATCAGCTACAAAAAGTTCTGATGTCAGTATCACTCTTGGAGGTTCATTATTAATACAACCCAAATCAGATTTACATTTCACAAATATACAGTTATTTGATAATTTAAAAATACATAGATATTTGACTACAGTTACCTGATAATTCTTTCAAACCATTTACACAAGAATTTTCAGGCTCATTACTGTCAATACAACTGGCACAGTTTCTTTCAATTTCAGTATTTTTACATAAATATAAAAATTTATTCTTAAAAGGATTATTTAGACACACAAAAATTGCTTATATTTCTCTTAATCTGATACACCTCATAATCAATAAAGTTCAACTACAATTTAAACAAAGAAACGCGAGATAAAAAAAAAATAATAAACAATTCAAATGAGAATTTACTACATAAAATGTAACATCATTATTTAATCTTCTAATATGATAAGACAACTTGATTAATTTAGTGACAGGAAGACATCCAGATAAAGACAATAGCTTTCTTGAAGTCTTAATTTCAATAGTTTCAAAACTATCAATACAGCTTAAAGTACTCTCACTCTCAGACATTGCATTTACTTTACTACCTGTATCAATAATAGCGGGGAAATTATAATTCCATTAAAGATACCAGCAACTTTGGAGTATTGAGATATCCATGTTAGTTTTGTCTTTAGATCTGTTTTGTATTGCATTGTATTTCAAGTTAGTTTGACATATAACTACTGATTGTGTACTGTGATACTGAGAAGGTTGTATGCTTTTGTAGAAAGTTCAAGAATGGTTAAGCATTACTTTAAGAAAAATTAAATTTTTATCAAGCTACTATCTGTTCTGACCAAATTCAATCTATACATATGCAACAATTTTTGGTGTTGAAGCAGATCTTAAAACGTGGACCAAAAACCAAAGGCTAGACTTTGAACTTCCATCTGGCACATTAGAGCTGTGCCTTGGTGAAAAGTGTTTAAAAGACTATATCAGGCTTAATTTAGAATCTCACCAATACAAACCCATGGAAACACTTCAGGAGCTTAACAGATATGTTGAGAGGTTGTGTCATCATAAAATGGGAAATCTTGTCCCTGCTGTACTTCATTAATGGCATTCAGGATCCTAAGCCCTGCAAATAGTGGATGTCACAGACTTAAAAAATGCTTTAGTGCACACCATCAAATCAGTTCAGCAAATAACGTGGACAGAATGCTCCCCAATCAGAACTGCTCAAGTCCAGGAGCCAGTGAATCAACTGCCTGCTCTATAGATGATTTAATCAAGCAAATCAATGTCTTGACGTGGAACAAGGGTGGCAAAAAACCAACTCCAAAATGCTGGAACTTCTGTGGAAAACATGAAGGAACTGCAGAACACCCCAAGGCACAGAAAATGAGGCCCCTCCCCAGCAATGATGCAGAAAGCAAATTAGTGGTCATCTCACAAAGCGCAAGTTGTCAGATATTAAAGAAGCCCAATTTTAAAGCACTTCAGATTTCTGCAATGAATGGCGGCAGTAATGGACTCTTCATCATGGGACATATCAATGGAGTTCTTTGCTGTATGACCATCAATACAGAACTCAGAATTACCATTATCCGAAATGATTTGGCTCAACAATAGGAACGTAAACTCATCTGGATGCTGCCCTATGTTACCCTTCAGTCTATGTCTGAAGATAAAATCAACACTGAAGGAAAATTAAATGTCAACATCATGTTTGAGAGCACTGCCTACCATTATACAGTATATGTAGCAGACATTTCTGACCCTTGCATACTTGGATTACACTTTCTAAGGAAATATAATTTTTCTTTGCTCTTTAAAAATAACAAACTACACTTTGAGGACATTCCCCTATTCGGAATGAATGAGATGAAGGAGTTCAATCTACCCACTAAATCATATTTCAAGTCAATATCACAGTATCAGCAAGAAACGAATTTTTACTTCCTAGATCCAAAACTGAAAAACAAATTTCTGATACAGTATAATGGAATATCTCAAGAGCTATAACACAACCCCAGAAGTACTAATAGCCTCAGCTCTCATCACATTATCAAGGATCATCATTACAGTGAGAGGTGACAATGTCAGTGGTAAAGTGAAAATCATTAGGTGAAGTGGTTGCAATTAAATGACCCAATAGTCCGTCAATATTGGTACCTTCAGATATCATAATATTGGAGTTACTGCAAAATGCACAAGAAAATGATGAAGAGAGAAATGCTAACAAAACTGTCATACAAGAATTTTAAGATATTTTCTCCTGATCAGTCTCTGAAAATAGGTTGAACCAGTTTGACACAGCATAGAACTGATACAGGGAAATTCAAAACAGCTCTATGTACAAAGAAATTTATTGTGATAGACTTTTGAGATCACCAGAGGATTGTGTTGGTTGTTTTCCTCAGCAGAGAAGCAACAATGAATACTGCAAATAACACGACACATTGGAATCTTTGCATAATGCAGTTCACAGAATATGTACACGTGAGCCGTGAAATATGGAGTCATCCTCTTTGCAGCCTGGACCTAACACTAATGATTTCCCTTCATTTTTAACTTTGACGAACCACTCTGAAGAAGTGGCAGGGAATTCACAACTGATATGGACATTCAACAAGCCATCATATATTTTGATGCATCACTGGAGCAAATGTTGAAATAAACATGGTGATTACATTGAAAAGTAATTACCAGTACATTACAACTTCAGAGCTACCAATACTGAAATATGAAAAACCAGGAAGTTCTATGACATTTTTGCACTGTCCAGCAATGTCATTTAAAAAGAAACTGAAACTGACTTCAATTCACTTTATAACGCTTACTTAGGTTATAGAACTATTTATAACATGATTCTGTAATAAAATACATTAAGTAGTCTAAATTTTATATTCTTAGGCTAACCCTGTAAAATCCTAAGTAGGAAAAGAAAGTTTTTATTTATCACTCTTAAATATGATGAAAACAAAATAATAATAATGATGACGATGATATACACATCATTGTCTGGATAAACTTAATAACATACCATATATTGATGTAAAACAAAATTAAATACCTGAAACAGATTAAGACAAATCAGATCAAATAAATGCTGAAAATCTTCTGGGATGGCAGAACAGAATTTCATAAAATACATAAACTATGTATTTCATAAAATACATTTTTTAAAAAAACTCATACTATTCCAAAAAGAACTAAACTAACTTGTTCTTCTAGCTTCATTTTTGCTTCAGATAATGACTCTTTCTCCATACGAAGTAAATTATTACTTTCACTCAATAAATTCATCATTTCAATTTTCTTCAGCAATTCAGAATGTTGAGCATCACTTGCTGCTTTAGCCTAGAACATGATAAATAAATAAGCATTAAATAATATTTAACTTATTTTTCCTGTGGAACTAAAAATTTTACCACAGTAATAAAGAATATTATGCACATATTAATTTGTAATTTATATGAAATAAATTTTATAAATTAAAGTTAATTTGCCTGTTTTATATTTTTAGTTTACTTTAAATAATATTTCAATGTTAATATTTTATTTTAAATTTCATAGTTGCCACGTTACCTAGAAAACCTAGAAAGTCAGGAATTCAAAAACTGACCAAAAAAGACAATGAAAAGTTAGGGAATTTAAATATTTCACTCAACATCTGGAAATATCAGGGAATTTCATACGGTGATCCCCCAAAACAACAATTTTCTCGCTAACGTTGTAAGTGATTGCTTTCTTTCTGAAGGCAGCTGTTGTAGAGCCAATTTTCACAGCATCGATCATATTTTATGTTTAAGAAAGGTAAAGCAAGTTTCCAGCATCTTTGGTTTCTAGTAACTTTCAGACTTGCATGCATAGTCCATTTTGAACAGAAGAAAATTCTGTGTCCTTGTTTAGAAAGCTCGTTTTTTGTTCCAATTAAAAATCTGTTAAGTTAAAACTATATAATCTTTCACACATTTTTAATTTTTTTAAGTATGTTTACTTAACATTTTATTGTATCTACCTGCTTGTTAAAATGATAAGAATTAATGCAGTGTATTTTTAAAGTTAAAAGAAGTCTACTGATCCTTTGAATCATATTATTTTTGAAATATTAAAAAAATTAATTTTTAACTATTAAGCTTTTCAACATCGTTGGCTGCATGGATATATCACGATTATTGGATTTCGAAATTAAGCAAGAAAATCTGATACTTCATAAATTACGTTAAAAGAAATTGATTTTCTTTAATGAAATTTAATTTCGTAAATGGCAAAATATTCATTTATTCTGAATTTGATGTTTGACAAATTCAGAAACAAATGCCTTACATAATGTTTGTCTTCCCCTTTTTTTAACACACTTCATGCAGTAAAAATAAGTAATTAATCCATCGCTCTCTTGAAATTTCTGATTTTGCTCTGTCCTTGCCCCATTTTTGTACAAAATAAATTTATCATTTAAACCTTTTCTTCTTTTTAATAAATGCCTTGTCTGCCATTTTGCAGTAAAATAAGAAAAATAATAATAATCTCATCTAGGCTAACCATTTAATATACCTATACTCCCCAAAATAATGTTAATTATTGTAATTCAATTTTCAATCTTAAAATAATTAATTTTATTTTAATGTTATTCATATCATTTAATGTGGCTTCTTCCTTCTAAATTTATCTATTATTAGTTAATAATACTTTCAGATTTCAGGTAATTTTCTCTGGACTAATTTTTCTTTAACGAAAGTTTCCATGGCTTTAGGTATTAATGTTGTACCATATGACACTGTGAAGGTTTGGTACCAAAAGTTCAAAAACAAGGACTGACATTCAAGAAGCAGAGTGCTCTGGCCAGCCTGCTGATGTTGATGAAGCCCTCCTGCAATAGCTTATGGAAGAAGTTCAGTATGCAAGCACTCAACAGCTTGCTAAGGAGTTAGACATTAGTGCTATGTCTGTTAGCCGCATTATGCATCACATAAACTTGACATACAAGTTCAATCGCTGGGGCTGCATGAGCTGACTCAAGCAGATAAGGACAGATGTGTTCAGGCCTGCACTAATCTGCTTGAATATCAACACAAAAACAAAATTCTGGATCAGATTGTCGCTTGTGATGAAAGGTGGATTTAACTGAACTGTTGGCTGAAGCAAATAAAATTGGTTTTCATACATTTTTAATTCAATTATAGGAGATGCAAGATTGGATTTCCCCATGTGTAACATGAAAGTTTCTCTTAAAATGCCTTCCCTCCACGAATGAATGTGTTTTCGTGTATTGAAATAAATAACCTAACTATATTATTGATTTCAGTTTCAGAATATAATTTGCATTTATTATTTCATAATTTCAAAATACTTAACTACATAACACTTATTTTGGACATTAGTGGATAAAATGTCATTAATAGAGAAAAATAACATTAAATTTATATATGAAAAAGTCATTCTCATATCTTCCATTACTTTTATTATTGATATTTTGTTCATAAATTCTTATCTTATTTTGCTAAAATTAAATATTTACTTTTGACTGATTTGACTGAAGCTTTCTACAACCATAATTATACAGTAAGACCCTGCTTAACGCTGTTTCGTTTAGCGCTGTTTCGGTTTAGCGCTCTTTTATTTCAACCCGGGGATTCCACGAAATCGCTCGCAGCATACGGGGATTCCACAAAATATTATGCAGCGATAGGTTTCAAATACATATCCGAAAGAGTGTACTTGTATTTCTTGTTTGGTGCGGTATTGTACAGACATATTTTGAAGGGGTAAATGTGGAAGATGTCGAAGAAATAATTCAAGAAGCAGCGGCTAGTCTTTCTAATGATGAGCAAGGAATTAACTGAACAAGAAGAAAACAAAAATGTTGACAGCAGTGATTCAGAAGAAGAGCAAAAAGAACTTTTGATGGCGTTTGTAAAAAGGAGTTTGTCTACCATAACTGAAATAATGGATCAATTCATTGAAAATGATCCGAATTTTGACAGGAGCTCAAAAGTAAGGCGTGGTGTTAGAGATGCTCTATCCGTTTGTGAAGAACTTTTAAGAGAACAACGCAAAAGAAAAAGGCAAACAACATTAGATGCTTTTGTCACAAAAAGGCAGAACACTGAAACGCGGAAGGCTAACTAAATATGACTGACTTAGAATTTTATTTGTTTTTTTTAAGAATATTCGTTTTGTTATTTACATTTTGTTTTTATTTTTGCAAGAAATAATAATGTGGTATTAATTTGGGCTTTTAAGAAATAAATGTTTGGTTTTATTTTTATTAAAAAAACATACTTTTTAAATTTAATACCTAACCAATTTCCTAGCCATCTTCCCCTAACCCCAATATTTACATGTAAAGATAGCCTCGTTTAGCGCTGTTTCGCATTACGCTCTACTTTGATGGAACGTATACCCCGCGTTAAGCGGGGTCTTACTGTATTTTATTTTCAAATTCCAATATATTGAACAACTGATTTTAGCACTTTTTTCTTCCCTTCAGTGAATGGGGTTTTTACATTGTAATCAAATCAAATGCTTTATGATCTGAATATTGAATATAAATATACAATAAAATTAAATAATACAATAAATAAAATAAGTAAAAAAAAAATTTTTTTCCCTCCAATTATAGCTGTAATAGCAAAAGAAACATCAAATGTAAAATGCTTCTTTTCTTTTTAAAGAAACAATTTGATGTTTAGTAAAGCATAAAGCACATAACAAATTAAAAAAACTTAAAATTTTGAACATTAAAAATAACATGTTAATGGATAAAATAACAGTAACTAAAAATAATTACCTGGGTATTGTTCATCATTTCTTTCAATTCTGCTTTAGCATCATTCAGTTCACTTGTTAATTGTTCTACTTTTAAGCTGAGTCGTACATTTTCAGATTGAGCAACATCAAACTGAGTACTTGCAATTTCTTTCTCTTTCTTAATGAATCTAAAAAAAAATCATAGTTTTCATTCCACAAACAGACATCCCACAAAAAAAAATTATATTCCTATTTAAAATATGCAAAAAACTTTAAAAGATTAAAGTGAAAAAAATAAATATTACATAGTTAAAAGCACTTTGCACTTATTCATAATGCAACATTTAGTTAATAAAAAAGTAATCATATTGATAAAAAAGATTGGGTATAAATTTTAATTGAAAGAGAAGCATACTAAAGCAGAACTTAAAATTAGGCAAAAAAACCAATTTCAGATTGGCTTGGACGTGACTATAACGTGACTGTATATATTTATTTATTATTCCTGAAGAAGGGACTATGACTGCTCACAAAGATTTATTCAAGATTTACAACTAGACGTTATAATTTACAAATAAATGGGCAAGATAATCATTAACATGTAAAATAATATTTTGAAAATATTCTAGGACTCTTTGCATCTTCTTTTCTTATGCTGAATTTTTAGATTACATTTTAATTCTTCATACAATAGTTAAGTACGCTGTAAAATATTTCATATTAAACTTTACCAATATTATAAGCAAACGAATAAATTTGATAAAACCAAATATTATATGCAACTTCACATTTTATATGATTATGAAACTAATACAAAATCTATAGCAAAATAATGCAATCAAAATTATGAATAATGTTGATTTGATCTTAATAAAAAGTTAAATACAACTATAAAATATAATTACATTTAACTCTTATGATAATACAATTAAGTGAATAATTATAGAGGACTGAGAAGTAATTATATTTGATTTTTTCAAACCATTGTACGTTCAGCCAAATAATTAAACATGACTATAATTAAAAACACCTATTAACAAGAAAACATAAACATACTGAATCACTTGTAGAAGATGTTGTGTATCTTTCAGATCAGTTTGAATAGAGGCATAAGGAGTTTCATCCCAATTCTTTGACTGTAATGCTGCCATTTGGGTTCCCATCTAAAATTCAAAACGAGGCAAAAGAAGAAAATAAAAATTATATGCAAAGAAGCATTTGCTATGAATATGTTATATTTTATATTTTCAAGAACCACAGAATTTTAAATGAATAAATAATAAATGATTAATTTAAGAAAACATAATTTATTATAGGTGTAAAATTCTTATTATATTCATATATTATTTTTATTATATGTACAAATATATAAGCAAAAAAGCATTTGTAAAGTAAAAGAATATGAATTTTAAAAATAATTAAGCAAAATATATCACATAATATAAGAAAAATCATCAATGAAAATGTCATTTAGTCTTCCACTTTTCAAATACCTAGTCCTGAAGAGCAATTCATTTTTCTCAATTACATATATTTTTCATTGAAATTTATTTTAAATAATGCATTCTGCATTTAGCAAACTGAAACAGCTATACTTAATACACACATAAGCAGACAGAGAGACCGATATTTTAAGTAATATTCTTATTTTAAAAAATTTACATAACTTTTCCAGTGAGGGAAAAAAAAAAGTATACACATTGTCAGTGTTCTATTTTTATTCTAATTTTTAAAAATTTAATAATAAGCACATCCAGACCTGAGGATTCTTCAGAAATGTACATTCTGAAATTTTTTTTAAATGCTACTCACCAATTCTAACTGATCATGAAGGTTATGATTACATTCTTCTAAATCTGAAATTTTAGTCTTCAGAGCTTCTATCTCTCGTTGAAAGATTTCTTCTTGACGAAGCCATGATTCTTTGGACTCTGAGAGTGCTTGCTCTGCTCTTTTAGCAGCTTCTGAATGTTTTTCAATTTCTGATGTACACTTCTGATGCTAGACAACAAGAAGATAACAAATACATTGCAATGCAATAATTGATTTGCTTAAAAAAAGAAAAATTAACTCAGTTTCAAATTTTTATAAAGTCCTTACTAAATGGAAATGATTTTATTAAAATGAACATTAATAAAATCATACAAGTCTAGACTGGCTAAAATTAGAGTAAAAACAAAAGGATGGTAAAATCCACTAAGGTGCAAAAATTTAATTACTTGCATGTTATTCATAATATATAATGTTAAAATAAATCAATGAATTATTTTTTATTTTAAGTAATTAAGTAGTAATTTTAAGCAATTAAATGGATTATGCAAAACATACAATTTTTTTAATATCTTATATCTTTTTCTATAGACTTTGATTTGGTTTTGAGCAAATTTAAACATTTATTTACTTCATTTTTTATTTCTTTTTTCTCTATACTTTTGATTTTCATTCCAAATATTTAAATACTACTTCGTAGGTTTGAAGTGATTACTTTTAAGACACTATTTCCCTGAAGATGACTATGAACCAGTCAGTATCTTTTGTCTTTTCAACAGATCTTGTGGAATTTACCTTTTTGGATTTTCTCCAAATTTGTAACACTGACTCATTTCTGCATACTGTATGCTAATATTATTGTTCCTATGGAAGTTTTTTTTTTTAAAGTAGTTTCTTTTTTGGTATGAATAATACAGCAAATTTTTAATCTTGTAATTTTCATTTACTTATTTATTACTATTACTGACTACTTCTATATTTTACTCTCCATGATAAAGAGTCATTACATTAATGATCAGAGTTCAGTTTTTATAATTATCTCTTTCCCATTATCCTTTTCCTTGTTAGATAATCACCCTTGCTTATTTGCAGCAACTATGAAAATTTCAGAAAGGATAATATTACTACCATTATAATTTCTGCTATTTATTTATTTTGGATTATACAAATATATTCTCACAAAAAATTGGCCTCAATAAAGATTTCACTTACTTCCTCTTTCAGTGCAGAAAGTACTTTAATATCTTGAGCATGTAACATAAGTTCTCTTTCATATTTCTCTTGAACCTTAAATGAAAATAAATTTTTACATAACTCGTAAGCTAGCATATGCAATATTTTCTATAAAGAAAAATACATATATTTACTTCTTGCATTAACTTTATCTGATTTTGGCAATCATTTCTAGCTTGCTCTTCTGTTTTCTTGGCTACTTCAGCTTGATTTTTATAATCATCCATAAGGCGCAAGAGGTCAGTCACTTTCTTTTGAAGTTCATTCAACTGTCAAAAAGATGGAAAGGGGATTTCTCTTAAATAAAGCAACTTTTTTAAGCTTATAAATGTAATTGTTGATATAAAACTAATATTTTTAAATTAATGTAAGATTTTTATTTTCCTCGTGGAAAAAATTACTTTCTTCATAGGACTGCCTTTTAAAAAATGCAATGGCATAAGAATTATTTTGTTTATAGAATTAAAATCACTTTTTTGAATTTTATGAAATTTCACACAGGCATCTCTGATTTAAACAGCATGTTGAATATCTGAGTTCTGTTACAAACAAGAAATAATTAAAATAAAAACTTTCCTCTTCATCACAGTTTGTAAATGAATTTTTCCCCATACCTATCACCTATGAATACATGCAAAAACTAAATAATACATTTTATGCTTAAAAAATAATAATTCAAATAAAAGCTTAACATTAAGTCAAAAAACTATCAAAAAATAGAATGAAAGAGTAAATATACATAACATAATATAGTCATGAACAAAACTAAAACACAGAATTATCAAAAAGTAGGTCTTACCTATACGCATGTTATAACGTAAAAATTAATGATACAATAAATTTAGCAATCTAGTATTTGTAAATAATTATTTTGACTTATCTTACTATTTGTAAATGCTAGTAATGCTATTCTCTCATTCTGAGATTTCTAACAACCCATTTAGAACTTAAGAATGATCCACCTGCAACTACGCATAAGAAAAATATACAGCTAATATTATACAACTAACATATTGAAATGTTTTACACTGCCTGTATGCAAAACTCAATGCAAAATTTAAAAAAAAAAAAAAAAAAATTGAATGTGTACCACATGACTTCTTTATGCAGAATATAAATTTTTTTCATTTTTTCTAGCATTTCATTCAAACTTCTTGGACTGAATTAAATTTACTTCATCAATAGCACATAAACCACAATAGAATAAATGTATTCTTTAAAATTCACTATATTTGTTTACCATAGCGAAACTCTGGCACTAGGTTCACTTAACAGTGTTACACTTAATTCATTTTATAACTCAGAATGCACAAAATTTATATCATCTGAAGAATTATCTAATTGTTGCGACATGTTCTATTCAAATACTATAATAAATCTAAAAATGGTGTATAAAAGAAATTAAACAAACAAAAAAAAAAAGTTTTCCACAGATGATTCAGTATTTTTCATTCAATTAATTCAGTTCTTAATTCATGACAAGGCAAAAATGCATAAAAACTCAAAATATCTATATTAAAAATTACGAAGTAAATCTTAAACACATCTTTCCGTAATAAATTCCAGAACTGGAATTAAGCATGATTTAATTCGCAATAATAAAAGAAGTCGTGTTTCTCTTCTAGTCTAATAAAAGAAGTATTTATATTTGTTTTTGCAAAGCTTAGTTTCTCTAGATTGGCAACAAATCCACTAGTCTGCTCCGAGTTTCAAATGTAAACAAAGGATGGCCTGCCTATAGTAAATATAATTTGGCTCAGCCACACCTAAACAACTTTTAAATTGTTGATAATTCTATAAATATCGCATGCAAATTTACTAAAGGCATAAAAACTGGAAGATAAGAAACACATAATTCAATCATTTTTAAAGCAAAAAATGCACAATTTAAAAACATACAACAATAAAGAAACTGAGATCACTGAGCTGACTAACAAAGCGGATATACGTATAGATATGCATAATATCTATATACTTTTGGTGCGGCCGATTGCAATCAAAATCGGAGGTGCACATCTACATCTTACAGCTGTCCTATATACAAAAATTCCAATGTTCTGAGGCTACTCGTTTTTGAGTTATACGAGATACATACATAGGTATGTATGTACATACGCAGAGATATTGTGAAAAATTCTATCTTCAAAATTCATTTTAAATCAGTTTTATAATTTTTTTTTTTGGGGGGGGGGGAAGAATCCTTTATTCTGTCCTTATGTACAGATGTCTGGCAGAAACGTCATTAAATTGCATTCAGTAGCGGTCAAAATGGTTATTTTTGTTGAAATATGATACCCAAATTTTTTCATGATTACAAGACTTCCTTTTTACTTCGTACAAGGAAGTAAAAATTGATTTGGATGTTCAATATGAATTATTTACCTGAGAATTTGAGTTCTGAGTTAATTTCATATTTTCTTCAATGAGTTCTCTATTACTCTTTTCCATATCTTCTAAGCTCTTTTCCAAAGCATTTCGAGCTGAAAAGAAGTACAAATTCATATATTCCTGAGAATGATTAAACAGTTAGATGATAAAAGCATTTTTGATGTTTTTTCAAGAAACAAAATTAATGTAAATAATAACCTTATGAAATTTCATACATATTATAAAAAATGAGGAATTATTTCATAACACTTTACAGATCACTCTAGTGGAAGAGTGAAAATCTACCAAATTAATATAAATCAACATCTGAAATCCACACAACTTCCCTACATAAAATGGATATAAATCCATACAACTTCTATGAAATCCATATATATATGCAAATTCTTATGTGTCAAGAATGGAATACAGGCAGTGGAATACTTTGGCAGTTTCTTGTGAAACACCAGCATTATTGATAACATGGATGTCTCACAGTATTCAAAGGAGCTAATACATTCTGCTGATTATCACTTTTATAACTGTCACCAAATCAATGTTTTGCCAAATGATTTTCTCACAGTATTCAAAGCAGCTAACATTCTACTGATTATCACTTTTACAACTGTCACCAAATCAACATTTTGCAAAAAAGTCATTAAATTTGTATCTATAGCTGAAGAATAACTGTGCACTATTTTCAATGATCAAGATGGCAGTAATTTGAATTCTCATACTAACAAAATATGCTCAAGAATGCTAATAATAACAATCTTTCATCACAAATTATCCCAAGCATTTGTGACTTAAGTTTTTATTTAGACACCTGTTTCTCATGAGATTTTGTCAAAAGAACCAAGATGCAGTTTCAGATTTGACAAGTGTAAAATGATGAAGAATCAGCAATTAAATTCTTTCAGAAAAAGTCCATAATGAAGGACACTGATCAAATAACCTCAAGATGATTTTTAGAATTAAAATAACAGTACAGCCAATGATCCCATCAAAAGAGAAAAGAGCTGGAAACCCAAAAATAATTCATTGGAATTATTCCCTTTAAACTAGTTGGGGATAAGGGGCTCACAGAATACAAAAAAGTAAAATTTTAAAATAAAGTACTGTACACAAATTCCTGAAATATTTTTTTTAAAAGTTATACACTTTCCATCTTTATTTTCTTTTTATATGAAATGCTAATATATTTAACAAATATTTTTCGTAAAAAATCAAAAAATAAATAAATAAATAATTTGTTTTTTATTTTATTTTATAATCTCTTAAAAATTCTGTCCTTTCAGTCTAGATAATGATTTTTTATTTATGACTTCATGCCTACAAAACTCTAAAACCTTCATAAACTTAGGTCCCAACTGTGAGGATTCTAGTGCATACATTTATTTACTCAGAATGTCATAATAATTAGTATTTACACACCTTCATTATTTGAAAGTAAAGCAGAATCCATAGATTCTTTGAGTTGCTTGTTAATCTGAAATTAAAAAAATACAATAGTTAAAACAAGATGAATTTGAAAACTAAAAGCAATGGCAAATATTTAAAATCAATATCATATAGGTTAAATGGTGATATTTATACTTCAATACTTAAACATTTGCACAAATCAATAGTATGTTTACTTGCATGTTCCTCTCTTCTCATTTTTTTTTTACTAATTTTATCAGATGAAAGTCAAGAGGGGAAAATTATGTGAATAATTCAATTTCTGAAAGGCATGGCAACAATAAGAATGCAACAAACAAAAAATATTCAAGGATAAACTACCAGAAACTATCATGATGTTAGGTATTTAAAAGAGACTTCCATTCCACTCAGATTACCTAGTAATATTAACATAACCAATGTCGAATATATCATTTCTACTTCTATATCTTGAATTCCGCCCACTTTTATTGTTTCCACTACTACTCCTTAGGCTTCAAATCATTTCATGCTGCTGGAACTAGGCATCATGCAGTCTGCTAAACCATGCCTGTAACTACCATCGTCACCACTGTCATTCTCTTTCTGTGTAACTGAATGCTAAATGTAACTGAAGACTAACTGAATTTTAGTCTTCCCACATGCAAATGATCTATAAAGTGATCAACAGCATTAGACATCCTCATTTCTCTGAAGCTCTTCACTATTATTGCTACATCAATCACATTCCAAGGAACCAAAATCCATCAGCAAAGCAATTAGCAAGATGAAAACAATCATTACATGGATGAACCCATTTTAAAAAATAGGATAGCCTGCCTTCTGAATGCCTTGAGAAAGGTAAAATTTACATGAATACTAAACAATTTCAGTACTTTATGCTAAAAAGCTAAGAGAAAATATGCAAGGGAAAATATGCAAGTAAATGTGATAACAATATCACAACATATTTGAAAAACACAAATAGATTATCTACTTACTGCATCTTGCTCCTTTAACCTTAACTCTAAATCATTACACATATTTGAGTACTGCTCTGAACTTTTGGTAGTTAAATCTAGTTTGTCTTGTAGAGCTACAAAAACAATTTAATACATAATAAAGAACATAATGGTCAGAAATTTAAAATATGTACTAAAAAATTCATATTAATAAAATGTTAATAAAATTTATAATAATAAATATTAAAATATTTAGAGGATGTTGTTGAAACAAAACACAGAAAACAATTAATTACAATTTATAATATTAATAAATAAACATTTAAATTGATTCAACGATGTTTTTATAGACAATTTTCATTATGTGTTTATATTTTTGTAGATGATTATACTAAAAGTACAGTCTAATTGTATGAACTTACATTTGGCAAAATGAATACATTTTTAATCACTAAACTGTTAACAACCAAATACTTTTTTAATAAACTTAAATTTTTTAACAAAAGGCATCAAATTAATTATATGTGAATTAAAAAAAAATCTTCTTAAATTTATATCACGCTAAAATTAAATCTAAATCATGTTATGTACCTTTAATTTTCATCTGTGCTTCATTCAACTGCTCTTTCAAAAGTTTTACCTCAGCAGCAGCTTGAGTTTGAGCAGAAACTGATTTCTGGGGTGTTTTTGCTGTTGTAGAAATGCAATTTGAATTAGCTTTTTTATACTTCAGTTTTAATATCACAATAAAATCTTAATCTGATTACAAAAGTCGATTAACAAAATACTCTAGCAGCTATGTTATGAACTCATAATGTAAATAAACTAAATTATATATATGAGAGCAATATACACCTAATTCTGTTTGCATATGAAATTTGTAATGTGATTTAGATTTAACATAATTTCAAAATAAATATTTCAATCTTTTTTAATGTGTCATTTATATTTCATACAAACAGACCACATGGATTTCCAAGAATTTCCCCCTTTGTTCTAAGAAAAACAATTTTTAATTGTGATATAGTAGTACATTCAAGCTAATATAGAGAGCATAACAGTTAATGGCAGAAAATGAAATGCCTCCTCAAGGCAAGTAGTAAGTCATATGAATGCATTAGCATCCCAACCCTCCAAGCTGTGTGGATTCCAATTTGGAACAGAAACTGATGTTTTGTATTTTTAGAAAACATTCAGTATGTAATTTTGTTTCAAAAAGAAAGAATTAACAATAAAATTTGTCCAAATACAAATTTATTAATTTTGCCAAAAGTCAAACAGTAAGTTTACGTATTTTTCATACATCTTTTTCTTTTCTTTACATTAATAATAACAGAGATATTTTTCAGTAGCCTTCATAAAATGTCACATAATTTCCATATTAAAAAAATAAACTGGAAAGTGATTTCTCTGGAACTTAAAATTCAAATTTCAGACATTCTTGCAACTGGGCAAGATGTTACATATATAGGAAAGCATTCTGGTATATGTGAAAGTTAATGTAAGGGCTATTAGGGAAAATGAAACTCAAGTCAGGAAGTCGGCAAAATTTTAGAACAAAAGCAAGTGTTGATTCCTCAACATATGCAAGAGATACTGTCAAGGGGAAAAAATGAAAAAGATTATGGTAATATGGACAAAAGATAAATCACAAAAAAGAATATCACAAGATAAAAATTCCATCACAGAAAAAGCACTCAGAATTCACAGACAGATTAAAGAAAAGAAGCCAGGCACTTTATCTCAGTTAAACAGAAAATATAAATTTTCTGCAAGTACAGGTTGGATGACAAGATTTCTTAAAAGGCATGTTGTTTCTAATATAAAAATTAAAAGTGAAACTGCACCTCCAAATGAATCGGCTGCTAAGTATTTTCATGGAAATTAGTTAAAATTATTGAAGGCGGAGGATGCACATCTGATGAAGTGTAGAATGCAGATGAAAATTGTATTTTCCTGATATGAATGCTGAATAAAAATGTACACAACTAAATCACAGAAAACTGCTGGTGGTTTTGAGGTAATTAAGGATTATGTAACGTTATTATTTCACTCTAACACTTCAGGCGATCGTATGCTGAAAACCTGCTGGTATATTGAGCCCTAAATCCAAGTTCAATGAAAAAAGTGAATTTCAGTAAAGTGCCTGTTCACTGGATGGCAAACAAACAGGTCCGGGTGACCGTTGCTACCTTTAAAAAATGACTCAACAAATGTTTCATCCCAAAAGTCAGATGACATATGAATGTAAAACGACTCAAATTCAGAGGAGTTCTGATTCTTGACAATGTACTTGGCTATCCTGTCTTGGAACACCCAAACCTAAACATCCCTCCCAGCTACCTAATACTATATCTTTGTAACAAACCAAGACATAATTGTAATACTTAAACATACTGAGTAAAATGAACTATCCCAAAACATTTTGGGAACTGAATGATGAAACAATAACAGCCATTGATGCGTGGATGAAATCCTAAATTATAGATTGGATCAATTAAGCTGGATTAGCTTTAATTGAATTAATACCAGTAGCTCTGAAAGCATATTAGGAAACAGTTTGTTCATGGTATGCAAATAAACAAAGATTCTATCATCCCTAATGTGACCAAATTTCCCAGCATTATAACAATGTCACATACAGTTGGTAGAGAAGGATTCAATGACCTATCGCTGGAAGATATTGATGAATTGTTAGCCGACAAAGCTATAAAAAAGATGAAATATTAAAGGTAGTCATTGAACCTCTTAATCCCACAGTACATAGTGATAGTAAAGAAAATGATCCAGTTCTGCATGCAGGTTAGATAAAAGAAAGTATGGAACTGGCCAGAAAATTAGGTAATCTTTTGTCAAACATGACCCTAATGAGGAAGGTTCTAAGAAATTTCAACATGAACTGAAGTTGTTGACAGCCTCCTACAGAGAATTATACAAGAGTCTAATCAAAACATTAACATGAAAATTAATAACAGAATTCATTTGTAAAACCGGTGAAACATAATCACCAGGAAACTCAAATTTATTTTACTCAAGAAATCACAGAAAAAAATCGATAAAAGCAACAAAGAAGGCAAGAAGATAATGTCCACAATATTTCTAATGATAGCAGGAATATTCCAGTTATATGCAAGCATACGTGTTGTTTATTGTCCGAAAGTGAAAATTAATAAAATCTTGTTATGTGTGAAACAGTTCCCCCCCTTGTGTTCATACGTAGTTTGTAGAAATAAAATTATAAACTTTAAAGGAATACTTTACGATGGTTTTTACATTATTTTTGCGGATTTTTTTTAGATCCAGAAACTATGTTCTGTTCTTCCACAGAAATAATGCCTTTCTTCATATGAGTTTTTTATTCACACATATTCTTTGGAAACATATATGTCATACGACATAAAAAAAAAATAGAATTAGGTGTAATAAGAGTTTGATTAAAAATTAGCATATTTACTTTAAACACTTGAACCAAATTATGTTGCAGTAGTTTTAATCAAACACGTATATTTATATCACACGATACAAAATGCTCCAGGAGTGTCTGAGCAAACCAGTTTTTTAGACCAAAAATAAAGCTAACAGGAATTTAGTTTCGATATTACTTCATAAATGACTATAAAAAATTCATTTGGTAATGTATCTTTTGGTAATGTATCTTTTATAGTTGATCACTTGTTAATAATATATAATTAGTTTACAAAATTTATAGCCCAATGTTAATTATAAATACTATTCATTATTTATTATTCTTTTTTTCAATACAATGAAAAAATGATGACTATATGGTGCTTATGTATGCATAAATTCTCATACTTTGATTTGAAAACACCACATCAATTGTTGTACATCCTCTGGTCTTGCATTTCGGATTGACGAATTGATGACTTATTAAACCATAAAAATTTTAAAATTACCATATCTACAGAACTCTCAACAGAGTGTTAAAGTGTTGCTATACATTTTTCCTTCCGTCTTTTCTCAGTCTATGACATCACTGTTTTAATAAGATGACCAACTTTTTTATTTATCATTTTAGCTTTACTCATTAAACATCATTTTCTTTGCATTTACACCACATAAAATTCCACAAAATCTTTAAAAGCAGCATGATTTTAGAATCCCCAATTGTAGTGTTAAGCACTGCTGTACATTCATTAAATTATTTATACTTGCTATATCATTTCTTTAAAAATAATATATAACAATAACGTTTGTTGGCAGCAACCTTTTATTTTAAAAGTGATTCGACACAAAATTGAAACAAACACGAAATTGAGGATTGAGGCTAATACATTTAACTGCTTCATAACAGGAGCTTGTCCTCAAAATTTTCATTGAATTTAACATAATTCCAAGAATATGTTACCTAGTAACACACTTTTTCACAAAAATGTATTCAAAGCTTCAGTATCACTTCTGGTTTATCAATTTTACTCAAAATCTATGTAATCTTTTAAACAAAGTCTAATGTTGTTTACATCAATAGCAAAGTCTCAAATACTAAAAGTGAAAAGTTCTGGATTATATTTTGATACAGTTTTTCATTAAAAACTGTTATGGGGCTTCGAGTAAAGTGATATTTCCAATTGCCCATTAAAAACTAATATGGGCTTCATGTAAAGTACAGGCCCAAAATATAAATAATTCTTTATTTAATGCAGAAAGCTTAAATACAGAAAATTTTTAGAAATTTCATAAAAATTGATAAGAGAGTTACAAAGAAGAAATCATCATACACATACACACAGAAAGGCAGACATAATTGCAAAACAACAAAAACTTGTTGTGGGGTGCCAAATTCGTGCTTTCACCAAAAACTCACTACTGAAATTCTAAATTGAAAACATTATCTCTCTTACCTACATATATAGGTAAAACAGATAGTATGAAATTTCATTTTAGGAAAAAACTGAATTTTATTACGTACAAGTTTCATTTGATGACTTTTCAGGTGCTGTCGTCAGCTGTGACTTCACATTTAACAACTAAAAGAAACAGACATTTTATTCACATATACGTCTTATACATATTTTTTAATGCAATATGAAGCTTTCAGATTAAACTCTAACATCTTAAGAATTTCATATTAAATTTTTAACAGAAAAAAATCATTTTAAACTATAAAAAAGAATTATAAAAATAATCCATTTTTCTCTTGAAATAAAAGTGTCTATTGCTCCCAATTTCATAAAAGATGTTTACCATAAGAATAAAATAACATAAAAATCAATTTTTGTTGTTTCCAATTTGTTTTTTTTTTTTTTTTTTTTTTTTTTTTAAGTATAAATAGTATTAATAGATAAACTCTAAGTACTAAAAAAAAAAAAAAAAAGGGGGGGTAAAATCATATTAGCATCCAAAACAAATTTAAAATGAAAAAAAGGCTCGCAACTTCTATAAAATTTCATCCTAACTATTATATTTCATTTTCGATTTGGACTACATAAAACATAAATTTTGCAAATAACCTATCATAACAACAGTTTAAAACTATTTTATCTATAATATACACACTATAAAATAACATTAATTACAAACAATTGTTAAGAAGTACAGACAAAGTTTTAAAGATCTTATCGCTATCAGAAAGCACATCTCTTTGAAATATTAGAAAATGCATAAATAATACATTTTAAAACAACAAACAATGCAGTCCAGTAGCAAGTGATAACAGTAATGTGCCTACTTCTTGGTTTAAAGCATGAACCTGGGAATAAGCATCAACTAAGTCTTCGTGTAATTTTCGGTTTCTTTCCACTTCAGCATCAACCTTTGCTTGTAAATCTTTATTCAATTTCTGGAATAAAAGTAGATTTCTTTTAAGCATGCTAGCAACAAAAAGTAAGTAACAACACTAAAAAAGTTACAGACAAATGCTTCCGACAAAGAAGGGTGTTTTAAGCCCTAAGACAATCAAAGCTGTTTCAGAAATGTTCCACTTTTATTAATGAGAATGGTTATCAATGTATTTAGCATTAGCAAAACTCCTTTTTTTCCCCTTAAAAAAACAATGAGATTGTGTTATATTTGTAATGGTTGCAAACTTTCATTTTTCTAATGGGAACGTTTGCTGGTTCCTTGGATTCGGCAAGAAATGAAGGTAGAATTTGCTTCAATATCCTTGTTTGATACATGATATATCAGGGCTGTGGAGTCATGGAGTCGGAGTTCGGCAGATTTTGGGGTAAAAGGAGTCGAAGCTGGAGTCGCTAAAAACAGGTCGACTCAGACTCCAGTTTTTGTTGGACAGTTTGAATTTGAAATGAAATTAAAGTGAATTAAAAAAAAACATTAATGACAAACTAAGTTATTATTCTTATTTATGGACTATATCCATTAATAAATAGATATTTTATATTTTATTGACATTAATAAATAAACATAAGGGAGGAGGATGGATGTGATATTTGCCATTAGTGATTAAACTGATTCATTTAGTTACAAATCTCAATGGTAAATTTAGGTAAGCAGCAATAACAGCAAGAACTCCCAAAACTTATGCAATTTTTAGGAAGTGAGCAGGAAAAAGAGCAATTATTGATCAAGCAACATGATGAGGAAGTACATATTTGATGATATACAGGTTGTTAGAATTAAGAACTTTTTAAGAAGATGTAGATAACCATAATGTTTCACAAACAGAAAGACTGTGAAATGATCTTTTCAAAATTGGAAACTCTTCTTTCTACACCGTATACAGCCACAAAAAAAGCTACAATCTGAAGAATTAACAGGAGGTGAGAATGGAAGAATGTGATGTTTTTTTCTTTCTGAAATTGATTGTTTATTGCAGAAGGAATCATTTCATTAATGAAGAAATGAGAAACTAGTTTGCTAGACAATAAGATCTTCCTGGATTCAATTTATGTAGATCCAAAACACGAATTTTGTTGGATGATGACAAATTAAGAAGGCAAAGAAAGTCATCTATGAACTTTCAATAAGAATGAAATTATTTTCAGAACAATTGGAGGATTCAAATCAGGACAGTCAAACTGCAACTGAGTCTCTATCATCCTCTTTCAATGATGAATAAGATATTGAGAGATATTTTTGGATAATATTGAAAAGGCTGGAAAAGCAAATGAAAATAAAGAACCAAGAGCCTATATGAAAAAATACAAGATTTCTACAAGGCCTTTGAAGAAATAGAGAAATATGATTGCTCTTGCAAGACATTTTTAGAACTTTTTAGGATATATTTTTATAAGTTCTAAAAGTGTCTTAAAAATATATATCCTATTATATATCCTAAAAAGTTAAAAGAAGTAGCCCTAACACAGTGGAGTAGCGAGCATAACTGGCCCCTGGGGCAAAATACCTTTTTGCCCCTCCTTCCCTGAAAAAAATAGTGATATGATGAATATTTTGTTTGGAGACCATTTGGTGCCCCTCTGCGTGCGGCGCCTGGGGCATCATACACCCCCTTGCACCCCTCGCTACGCCACTGCCCTAACAGTAACAGCTCTTCCTCCTACTAAAGTCAGTGTGGAAAGAATCTTCTCAGCTCTAAAGTTTATCAAATCGGATCTATGGTCTTCCAACAAAGAAGATCTTGCCGAAGCTATAGTGTTCTTTACAAATAACTAATGCCAGTTTTTCAGTTTTTCCATTTCATAATAAATGCTAATTAATATAAATCATTTGCTATGCCATCAGTTTTTTCCTGTAGCATCTATTACTTCTTTTATATTAAAAAAATAAGCTATAACCCACGTGTATATATTTACATATATATATACATATACATATATATATACATATATATATATATATAGATATACATATATATACATACAGATAATATATATAATATATATATATATATATATATATATATATATATATATATATATACATATATATATACATATATATGTAAGATAAAATTGTATGAATCAGAATTATAATATAACTATAAACATAAATTCTTCCTCTCTATTCTAAAATCGTAATAACTTATCTGCATTGCGTCATTCAAATTAATCATGCGATCTTTCGTAACCGTTAATACCAGATGCCTCTTGACAACCAATCACCGAATTGTAAACCAAAACGTTTCTCTTCGCATGCTTCCATCTTTCATAACTAAGCACTTCAGCTTTTGCTCTGTGCTCTGCTAAGATGTAATTTCACTGGCTTGCTTTCTATCTCAACAATATCAAAAATGTAAATCTTCTGTGGAAAGGCACGACTAGAGTGCAAAGTGATTGTGGCCACAAATATCAATTGGAAATAAAAATGGAAGTAAAACTGCCTCGACTGCCAAGTTCTTTAAATACTACGCAATCAAATTCTTCTTCAATTATGGATCTAAGCACGCATCGACAGTGTTCCGGCTTTTTCTTGTGATTTTATTATTTCAATTAAGCCGGTAAGGATAGTTTCCTGCAGCCTGAAACCTCAATGGAAAATTTAATTCAGCTCTTCAAATCATCGTTTTGTGATAAATCCAAGATAATGTGAAAGAAGTGAATCATCAAATTTGTTTTTTCAGTGTTTAAGAAATAACAGATCATTCTTCTGCTGTGGTGCAAGTGCTTCCAAAAAATAATCACGCGTAGTGTTTACAGATTGAAAGTAATATCTCGATAAATTGAGAAGTTCGAATGCCTAGTGAAAAGGAAATCATCAGTGAATTACCGTTTAGGAATTCAGCAATACAGCGGGTTCAAGGTCGATCTGAGTTAGTGTTTGCAAGTATGTGCGACAGAAAATTATTTGCACTTCCGCTTTTTCAACGGCTAAAAAATTATTACATTCGTGTGAATCTAGCTCAGGAACTAAATAATTTAATGTGCTGCAGATTCTATAGTTTTCATTTCAACTTTGGTTAAAATTTTCTGCAATTTGTTTTGAGAAAATCTGAAATTCTTGTTCATTAATTTTTCTAATTTTTCATAATTATGTGTGAGCAAATTAAGTAACTAATTTTAAGCTATTTAAATTATTCATAGGGAAGGATATTAAGATAAGTTTTTATGTTTATCCTAAGTTTTTTATGTTTTTGAAATTTTGTTGAGAATTTTGAATACTAATTTTATAGTTATTCTAAAAATGAAGTAGGTGTAAAAATAAGTGAAATTATTACAGATACGTAATATGAAATTATGGTAAATGCATGTTAAATTTATGGGTGATTGTATGTTAAGTATAGTGTATGTCGAGGGAGTATTGGTTCCTTCAACAGAGGCCTGTTATTACCTCTGTACAGTTGTTCCTTTTACCCTCTTCATGCAAGATAATGTTGGAGGCTCTCATTTTATGAATGCATGTAAATTTTATTATTATTATTATTATTATTATTATTATTATTATTTATGGAATGTATTAGTGCAGTTCTCAAAGGCCAATTACCTTAATGCAAGGAACGGAGGCCTTTTCAAGTAACTGTCTAGGCACCCTGGGCCACCAGTGCAGAGAACACACTGGTTAGCTCAAGAGGACAGCCCTATTGATGGATATGTTTGTTTAGAAGTATTGCGAGGCTTCCAGTTTGGTAAAATCAGGAATTGTAAATGAAAGATGATAACGGTGAAACCATAAATTCTGAAAATCTTAATCCTATTATTTATGATGTTAAATTATAATTTATCAGTATGGAAATAAGTATCATAAATATTTATGTGCATTACATTTAATTATAAGAAATGATTATGTAAAAGTTTTTGTGATATTCTGCGATAACAAGAACCTTCCCTGAAGAATTATGATTATGTGAACTCTCAAACAAAAAGACTTTTGGACTGAAATGTTGAAAAATTCAATAGGACTCTAAAAATTAAGAATTTATTTTAAAAAAATTATATTTAATACTTTACAGGATCAAAATTTTACTATTTATTTATATTTTTTTTTTAATTTGCTTGTGCTTTAACTCTTTTTCTTTAAAAAGGCTTCTCTGTCGCTACACCTTTTTCTTTTTGAAGGGGGGGAATATGTAAGATAAAATTGTATGAATCAGAATTATAATATAACTATAAACATAAATTCTTCCTCTCTATTCTAAAATCGTAATAACTTATCTGCATTGCGTCATTCAAATTAATCATGTGATCTTACATAACCGTTAATACCAGATGCCTCTTGACAACCAATCACCGAATTGTAAACCAAAACTTTTCTATTCGCGTGCTTCCATCTTTCATAACTAAGCACTTCAGCTTTTGCTCTGTGCTCTGCTTAAGATGTAATTTCCACTGGCTTGCTTTCTATCTCAAACAATATCCAAAAATGTAAATCTTCTGTGGAAAGGCACGACTAGAGATGCCAAGTGATTGTGGCCACATAATATCAATTGGAAATAAAAATGGAAGTAAAAACTGCCTTGACTGCCGAGTTTCATTTACGAAGTCAACACATTACTACGGAGCAATCAGAATTCTTCTTCAATTAATGGATAGCATAAGCACGCATCGACAGTGTTCCGTTTTTCCTTTGTGCTTTTAATATGACATATATATATATATATATATATATGAGGGAGTCGGAGTCTTTAAAATTCCAGGAGTCGGAGTTAGACATTTTCCCTACCGACTCCACAGCACTATGAAATATTCATAAAATGTGAGAGTTAGCTAAATTGAGAAAGTAACATAGTGGAGTCATGCCTACTTTAACCAAGTTAATAAACAATATTGAAGTTTTTGTTAGCTGTACAAATTGATAGCTGCAGACTGAGGGATATATGCTGGATGCTTCTCTTATCACCAAAGGAACAGTGATTAAGTCCAATTTACAGGTACAAGAAATTCAGGAGTCAGGTAATTCTTTCTAAACGGACAGTTGAAGAAATACAGATTAAAAAGTGTATCAACAAACATATTTCACTTACCTTACACACTGGTAACAAAAAACATATCACGCTTCGGCAGAGCTATCAGAAATTTAAAAATAATAATGACATAAGGATAAATTTAACCTACCTCCCAAACTTTCACAGCATTGCGATAGTCTTCATTAGCATTGTCTAATTTAGTCTTCAAAATGGAATTTTCTTTCTCACATTTCTCAATCTGATATTGAAGATTGCGTTTAGTTTCTGACTCAATTCTCTCCAAATTATTCTAAAGATATTCAGATATACATGAAATGAGAAATACTGAAAGAAATAAAACAACATAAATAACTAACAACAAATCAGCTTGAACTAATAAACTAACTTGAACAGCTTGCAAATTAGACATCATTCTTGATTGATGCTGCTGTTCTCTCACAGCAGATTCTTTCTCTTGTAATAGACGCTGTTCTGCATTTCTCAGTAATTCACATTCAGCTTTTAAGTTTGAAATAGTTACTTCAGATTTTGCAACCTTTTCTTGAGCTAGCATTAGATCCTATAAATAAAACTGCATAATAAAATAAAGCACAGACCAAAATAACTTCTTTTGTTGAAAGTAATAGTAATGTATATACCAGGGGTGGCCAAAGTGCAGCTCGCGAGCCTGATATAGCTCTCACAGGCAATTTGTGCGGCCCATGCATATAAAATATATCTATGAAATATGGTAAACTACAACTATTCTGTGTCCAAAAAGAAGTAATTAATTAGTTTAGACTCTTTTTACAAAGTTATCAGGGATTTCTTTCTATTTAAAACCTCCTCCACTACTTCTATAATGATGTAAATATGAAATTGTACCCTTAAGAAAATCTAGATGTGGCTCTCGAACATTCCTGAATTCAAATGTGCAGCTCTTACTGACATGAAGTTTGGCCAACCCTGGTATATACCAAAATTAGGATTTTATTTTTGGAATAGTTGGTTGACAAGTGTTGACAACTTTAGTCAAAATAGCAGAATATTTTTAAAAAATTTATGGGAAGACTCTGTTTGCCAAAAATACAGAAAAAGAATGAAAAAAAAAATCATACAGTTTCCCTGAAGCATCAAATGTGTGTTCCAATACTTTACTGCATAATTCCAAAGAAATTTTTATATCATCATCTCCACCTTCATATTAAGTAATGTATTTTACTTGTGATATTTCTACGTAAACACCTTTAAAAATTATATTATCTGAAATGGGTCAACAATGCTAATTAAAATGAGTATTACAATACTTAATGCTGTGTAAATATACTAAAGTTTCAGATATTATGACTGCAACAAGTAATAGTCAGTTAAAATATATCTTATTACAGAGAAAATATTTCTTTCTTTTTTAAATAAAAAAATTTTTATAAATCAACTTATCTGAATTCTCTTTATCTTTTGAATAATATACGTTTGAGTAAACTGGTTAAAGACCTTGAAATTTTAGGCAAAGTAACTGACGTTTTAATTTAATTTAGGAATTACATGAACCACGGTGATGTTCTAAATACGTCTTGGGAGATGTCATTTTGAAAGAGTACCTAAAGAAGAATCCACTTCTATTTACCTTGCAATGAATGAAAATCATAAAAACTACTGTGCAGGTGATTTTCTCTCATTTAGGCGAAAGTAGAACTTTGAATGAAATTAACAGTACATTTATACAATCAGCAATAAAAATGCCAAAATAACATCTTATTTGATATAAGGTTCAAGTATAAAATGGGCTCTAAATGACAAAAGCACTTTTGTCTACTTTGTAAAAGGGACTTTAAAAATATTAATCTGTTAAGAACAGAGTGCAAAACTGCCAAAGTTTTAATCATAGCAAAAATATATATGCACATGCAGTGAATGCTATTAGCCAAGTAAAAAAGTTTTAGTTTATTATAGTAATGGAACGCTTCTTGCTTACTTGATTATGACTATGCAGGCTTAGGACTATTTGGACTAGTGGAAATGCCTTTGTGAAGAGACCCACCAGTGGGAGAGTGCAAGATCGCTGAACAATGGAAGTTCGATCCAGATTTAAATCCAAATATGAGGGGTTTCATGGCTTTACTCATGTGCAACGTGAATATGAGCTAGTTTCCCATGGGAAAACTTCCATGAAGGCATCTCACCCCATAGACAGATAGTACTCAAGTTGCTTAATGTAACGTTAACCTATGTCAAGGACTTTGGGGGAGAAAGCAGCTTATAATCGCATTATACATGGGGGAAAACCTACAAAAGTTGTTCATTTGCTAGTGTTAGAATTTAAGGTGAACTCCTGTTACCTAACAATATCGTCAATATTTTTATCTACATATGAACTGGCTATCCCAATGTAACTAAATACAATATTTACTGGCCTCAGGGAAGAAGCTTACACATCAGTTGGATTATTTGATCAAGGCAAAGTATAATATGACTATTTGCTAAGAAAATAGTACCTTCTTAGAGAACTTGGGACAGAAGAAATGGCTCACATTCATACTTTTCATGGGTAAAGCCACGATAATGACCATACAATTATATTATTCCCCATGATCTAAAAATCCAGGTGTTTAACGTGAAAAATTCAGTGTTACATATTTTTTTACACTATGTTTCTTCCCCTCTTCCTATTTTTGGACCTTAGAAAATAACTTTAATAAAGACTTGCTCCATTAAATTCTGATGTTTTCTCATATGACATCAGTACTTTTTGTTTTGTTTTTGCTTATAGAAAGGTTGCTTTTAATTCATTATTTAATTACTGCTATTTTTTTAAGTGAATTGTTTTTTGAAATGACTTGTAAAGAATTTCAAAACAGTTTACGCAAAATGCTACATCACATTTTGCATATAACAGTTGACCTGCGCTGCAAATCTTTTGCAGAACAAACAGCACATCTCTGTTTTTTTCCTTTTTAAAATTGGAAATGGAATTTAAAAATACTTCCACCCTACATAAATTTTTGAAAATTTTCCTTTTTTCTGCTTAACTCTTAATATTGTGGGAAGGAAATCTAGTTCAGCGTACCAAACCTTGTAAAGACATTACGTATTTTTGGAAGAGGCAAGATGTGAAAAATGAGCAACGCCTTCGCCAGGTATTGAACTACGGACTTCTGGAATATGCGCCCAGCATGCATACCACCATACCACGAAGGCATACTAAGAAGGCAGGAGAAATACCTTATGTACTCCCCCTTTTAAAGGGTGAATGGGGTTTTTAGGGGACCCAATCACCAAAACCTGGGTGTGGAAATTCATCTTCCGTTTCTTTTATTTTTTCCTTATCATTTCAACACTGACTTTTTATTCAGGATTTAGCTTTTATTTTTAATTTCTAGTTATAAATAGGTGAAATTAGCTTAATAACAAAAGATAATTTCAATCATTATCACAATGAAATTTTATATCGACCAACTATTTGGATAACTGATGCGACATTAAAATTCAATAACATTCTTCTGAAAGCAGTATTCCTTTTATAAAAATACTTAATAAAATGCTAGTATACGGTGCAGCCTTGGCGCAATTTTGAAAATTATCGCCAACACCAAAATGACTCGTTTAACTACTCATCATATATGTTCCGTTTAGTGCTCATCATAAAGTCACCAAAAGTAGCCAAATCCCTTGTGCTACGGATACCTTGTGCATAGGATTAAACCAAATACTTAATTGTCTATTGAAGCTTCAAAACGTATTTCCGAACTTCACTTTTTTTCGTCTAGCATTACCGAATTTGCCCTTGGCGACCTAAAATCAAAATGGAGCCAACAGATTTCCCGCGAAATCGATAACAGATCCTCTGCAGAAATAAACTCATAATCCCAATATCTCATACATATATGTGCAAAAGAGAATAAACTCTGTAGAAAGTGATCAAAAATTAATTTATAGCTTAATTCAAACAAACACAGAAATTAAGGTAAGAAAAACCATGTAAAAACAAATTGAAATGATAAAACGAAACTTAGCTTTCATGTGAATTTTCAGCGCTTACTCTCCCATTCTAGAAATTTCAATTTGTTTCAGACAAAGACCACATTTAGCTTTATAAGGATTGTCATCTATCAATATCCAGTCTTTGTAGTCAGCTTGATGAAGCCACAGTTTATTGAAAATGCACTTTCCAGGCATCTCGTTCCTATTGGCGTTGGAGGGGTTGTGGCCTTCCAGGTTGGGATTGTTCTAATTTTAGGTTGGGACTGTTCTAATTTTGGCAAATATTTCCAGAATCCCCAACCCCCTTTTTTTTTTTTCTTGAGCACCTTCATCATCACTTTCGCCTCTTAAAGAACTTCCAGCTTCACGCTTTCATCACAATCTGCATAAATTTATGGATAACACCTCTTTCGAAAGACTGGGTGAATAGCCAATCAGACACCCGATACTTTCGTCCTAGGGTAGGCTAATTTTTTTTTTTTTTTTTTTTTATTTTTATCGTTTGCAACGCAAATCTGCCAACAGATTGGTTAAGAGCTGTGTAATTTTAATTCCATATTCATGAAAAATCGCATTTCACACTTATAATGGCAATCATTAGAAATGATAAGAAATGTCAAATGAGCAAAATTAAGGACCGTTTATTCATTTTGACCAAAATTAAGGACTTTTAAGGACCAAAAATCATTTTTGAAAAATTTAAGGACTTTTAAGGACCAAAAATCATTTTTGAAAAATTTAAGGACTTTTAAGGACCATATGAACCCTGTATGTATTAATGTGAACAGTGCACAGCAAGTTTCTCCCTTGGAAATTGTATTTGAATGTGTGTTTTTCATGTAAAGGTCAGTTATGCCTTGTGTAAGAAGGAGAAACTCCTCCCAGCACTTAAAACTGGTCTTTTATGACATCAAATCGGAAACTTTTTCTCCTCAATGAATCAGTCATTTTTTAAAACTCATTACTTGCTAATAGTAACAATGATCAGTTAGATTGGGAACGGGGAGCAGATCAAGAGCAGTGCACAAAGATAAAGTGAACATTAAAAAGAGTGGAGAGTGAGAATCAGCTCAATCAAACCACTCATTCCCTGGACTCAACAATGACACTGGACACAGCATGTCATCTTTTTAGACAAGTCTTGGTTCTTTATACAGCATCATAATGGATGTATCCATAAATGCAGGCACTAAAGAGAATGAACATTGTCAACTTGCATTTGTCGTCATCATCACATAGGCCCAGCATATGATATGCTGATATGTGGTACCATTGGTTCACACAGCCAGTAATGTGGACAGCTGCCGTTACATTTCTAATGGGTGAAGGCACGGAAATCTTTGAGGCCTGCATGATGCCAACTTTCAACAGGATAATGCATAATCACATTCCTCGATACAGAGGCTGCCTTAGCCATCATGTTCTTCAGATCACGCATGGGAGAACATTCGTCCATGAGTTGCCGAGAGACTGGCATGCCACCATTCATCAGTCACTATGATCAGTAAACTCTGACATAGATCTGAAGTCACACAGAATGAAGTAGAAGTATCTGTCATCCAAATTCAGGTCTACTTGATGCCACTGTCAGAAACAACAGCTTTGTGTTATGAATTCTGCATGTGTATACCCAAACTACCTACCAAATGAACTACTTCTTCCTCCCACTATACTCTCTCTCTATATATATATACAATAAAGATTCTGCTACCTGCTTTTCTTCCTGGTGTAGCAAATTCAATGACCATCAGTGCACTTTTACAAATCCTGCATTCTTCACCTCTTTGTAAATAGCATTAATTTAGAAATCTTGCATAAAAATAAAGATGAAAATAAGATCACAAATATTTCAAATTCTTTACTACAATACTCTAAACTATTTTTTTCAATTGTGTTCAAATATTTCATGACTGTTGAAGATATTTTAAAGGAAAAAAATTATGATTAAAAAAAAATCTGAGATAAGGATGATTCTCAGGACAATTTCTATCAAGCCTGTTTAGAGATAATTCCTATTTAAAATCGGGTAAAACTGAAACCAAATTAATTTTTAAAATCTCTACAAATATATATATATAAATTTTCAGTAACTAGAAAGCACTTTTTAATACTTAATGCTTATCTAAACTACACAAATTACACAATAGAAACAACTTATCACCTGTCTTAAACTGTTTATTGTTTGTTGGTGCTGAATTATCATGGAACTGTGCTGACGATTCTTGTCTTTAAATGATGCATATTCTTTCTTATAAGTTTCCAAGTTGGACTGTAAAATTTTCACCCTCTCTTCAGAGTACTCAATCTTTAAAAAATAAATAAAATATATAAACAATGGCATGAATTAATTTATAAGAATTATTTATAAATCTCAGCATTAGCATTATAAGCAGCAATTATGACTAAGTGTACATGCATTTATTTTATTTTAGAAATGTTTTAATATATCAGGAATTTGTTTCAGAATCAAGAACAGCATTTTAAAATATACAGTGGTGCAAATTTAACAAATGATATAAAATTAGAACATAGTGTGAAGCTATTAGTTACATAAAAACTCTACACTGACAAAATAAACAGTAAAGCCCTTTTCTTCTTATGCTGATATATATATTAAACTGCTAAAATAAGGCAAAATTTAATTGATTTAAAGATATTATTAAATTGATTGAAGGTGTTGTTAAATTTCAGATATTAATAGAGTGTAGTTACTTAAATGTACTTTTTATCCTGGAAGAATTCCAAAGAGAATAGAAATAACTATTACAGCATTACTTGAATTTATATTAATTAACAATTTGAATGGCATATCAGCATTAAAATGAATAATTTATTATTATTCAAGTCTTTAAAATATTTAAAGTATATTTTAAAAATTTATTATTTAAATAAATAAAAACAAATTTCTGTAAAAAATATGCATTAATATTTTTAAAAACTGTGCATTATTTTCAAAATACCGTGCACTATTATTTTAAGGAAAACTGTGCATTGTTATTTTTAAACTATTATAAAAGATTTTAATTATTTAAAAAAAACTGCATCATTATTTTCAAAATATAAAGACTTTCAAAATATACATACTTAGACAAAGCATATTTCTGCAAAACACATAATAGAAAATTCTTTTCACTTATTTTCATTATGTTTTTGAAATCAATTTGTTTGACAACATGGTTTAGAAAGTGAAAATCCTCTTATTAATATTTCAAATAACATTAATACTGATATTATACAAAATATGAAATTTACATAAATATGAATGCCATATGTTTTGAGTACTTTCCTAAATTACATAAACTCCAAAAATTTATTATAATAGTGCAATAATATTTTCAATTCAGCAGAAATATTCAAATTATTTTGACAGCGAATTAATGTTACAATATTTCCAATAATTTTGATTAACAATGATAGAGTTATGTGTAAGTTGATTTAACATTCTGCACTGTTAAACTATTATAACATTCAAAAATCACTTGGCTGGAAGATCAGAAAATATTAATAGGCAATATATGGTCTTATTAATTAACGTCGCATAGTTGCCAGCTTTGAAATATAAAAAATTGGGAGGTTTTTCTCACCAAAAAACAAGCACTAAATAAATCCGATCCTAAATAATCCTAAATCCGATAAATACTAATCCGATCCCTAAAGATCCTTCACCTTCAGACTTGTCCAAAATAAAAACTGCGATCAAATCTTCGCAAATCATTTCAAGCAACTTAAAACATTTGCTTATCCCATCTGTTGCGAATTGTGCCAGATTATATGCTCTTCCCAAAATTCATAAAAGTGGTATTCCTTTCCGCCCTATTGTATCAAATTTAGGTACTGCCTCGTATCCATTAGCTAAATATTTAGTTTCTAGATTTTCCACTCTATTAGACAATAACATTTACACCATAAAAAATTCAATAGAGTTTGTAAAAAAGGTTAAAAACATTTCTCCTAGTAATTTACTCATGGTTTCTTTTGATGTAAAATCATTATTCACCAATGTCCCAGTGGAGGGTGCATTAAGATGTCTAGAAACCAGACTTCGCGAATTTCATTTCTCTTGCATCGAAATTGATGAGCTAATTTCTCTCACTCAACTCTGTTTGAAAGAAACACATTTTGTTTTCCAAAATAAATATTACAAGCAAACTGAGGGATTAGCCATGGGAAGCCCCCTCAGTCCCATCCTGGCTGATATCTACATGCATTATTATGAATCAAAATTGTTTGAAACTTTAAACTTCCCGGCATGGTTCCGCTACGTAGACGATACTTTTTTAGCCTGTTTGAAGGTATAAAGATGATTTAAATAAAGTTCTTTCAACAATGAATTCTATTGATCCTGCTATTCAGTTCACTTTTGAACTTGAGACTTGCAATTCTCTTCCGTTTCTCGACATTCTGGTCACACGTAACACATCCAACTTCAGTACTACAGTTTACCGTAAACCTTCATCGGTTTGCCTTCCACCACACTTTAAATCATGTCACCCGACTAAACAAAAGTTAGCTTCATTTTATTCCTATGTTTACCGTGCTCTTCAAGTTTGCTCCTCCAAACTGTCCCTTGATGAAGAACTAAATTATTTGAAAACAATAGCTATTGACAGGGGCTTTTCAACATTATTAATCAAGCAGCTAAAAAATTCTCATCTCAACACACCAAAAGGCACACTCTTGGTTTAGGAAATTATAAAAATTCTGTTGTCATTCCCTTCTTTCCATCAATTAGCTATAAAGTTGCACATATTTTGCAGAAATTTAACTTTCGGGTTGTTTATTCTCCCATCAATAAAATTCCGAGTTCCATACTCAAGGACCCCATTCCGGATATGAATTCCTGGGGTATTTATAGGATTCCTTGCCAGTGTGGTTTAATTTACATTGGCCAAACTAAGAGAGCCTTAAAATTTCGCGTCAAGGAACACGAGGCATATGTTAGAAAAAAGGAAACACAGAAGTCTTCTGTTGCTCAACATTGTTGGTCCGAAAATCACACTTTCAATTTTTCTGCTGCCAAAATTATTCAAAAAACATCTTCCATTGGGGAACTGGATTTTCTAGAGGCATTTCACATTCATAAAAAAACTTTCTGTTCTAGTTAACGATCCTAATTCCAATCCAAATTTGCATTCGGCTTTTACAGAAATTATGTTTTAGTTCTGGTTTCGCCAACAGATGGCGCCACTTGCTTATTCTTGTCCAGGCTTTCTTATCTTATCTAATCATTATTTCCTATCTTGTTCATTTGCGGTTTTGCAGCTGAAGGTGGTGGTTCGGTAAAACCATCGAAACTAGTCCTGTGAAAATTTTGTAAATATAACGCTGATTTTTGTTGTTTGACTTCTGAATTAGTATTTATTCGACGTGTTATTGTGTCTTAAGCACTAAATAATTCACACTGCACAGAGGCATGATATTAAAAGAAATCATTTGATTAAATTTGCTTTATAACATACAATTCAGTTTATTCAACTACTTATACCATGATTCTGACACAAAATACATCAATAATCAATTATTACATATGCTAAATTATATATTTCTCGGCTAATTTCATTTCTTAATTTTTTTACGTTATTATGTTGAGAAACTGAGTAAAGAAGAAAAGTTTTAATTTATGAAAATACTTTCAAACACATTAAATATAATACACTATTGCGTAGATAAACTTAGTAAATACCAAAAAATGGTGTAAAACAAAATCAAATACAAATATTTAAATATTTGATTTAATCTTCATATGAAATTTCATAAAATATCTGCAGTAAATTAAGACAATTCAAATCAAAATAAATTTAATATAAAAAAATATGCAGAATAATATCACTAAGGGTACGGCAGTGAAACAGCATGAAATTTATACAATTTAAGTTTTATTAACTCAATAATGAATAATGCGAATTTTATTTGTGCAAACTGATGTCATTTACATAATTTAATACTAATGCTGAAAAACACTTTTATTATTATAGGCTAAAAATCAAAAATTGGGATATTTGGTGATCTACTTGTAGATTGGGAGATGTGGCGAAAAAACATTGTTTTGTTCTTGTTTAACAATGTATGTAAGAGTAATACAGACAAAAATTACAATTCTTTGCTCAATAAAAAAGTTAAATGTATTTTTCTGCTTTCTAAAATATGTTTTTCAATATTTTGCTTAACAACGGAATTTTCATCAGGACTACAGTTCAGAAAAGAAAGAGATAAAAAGGCTAAAAAAAATCTGTGAATAAATTACTTAAGTTACATTACTTGCATTGAAATGTATAAATTAGTTAAATGAAAGGATTTTTCAAAGTTAACAAGAAAATAAGTGTAAATAAAGTCATTATCACTCAAATCAGCACAAGCTGTGGCACATGCAGTTTTCTCTAAATTAACAAAATGTACCCATTTATATACATTCATTCATTTTTTAAAAAAAACTAACTGAAATCCAAATATAAAACATGTTTATATTTTTTCCTTTCAAAAAGTATTTAAAAACTCAAATATCAGATCAGATACAAAAAAAAAACTATAAAATGGAATAATAATACAAATTTTTAAATTAAAAACGTATTCTTAATTTGTCACGTAAAAATATTATATTATTAAAATCACATCATTGATTTTCCTTTTAACTTATACAGTGTACTGTTGATTATACAGGTACAGATTATTCATGTGTAGTGGTGTTTACACATACATACTCAAAGCAATACTCGATAATGTGTAAAAAACAAACATGCACTAGTCCGAGTATGACCTAAAAGACGCTGAATTGCATTTTCAGAGTTAGTTTAAACATTTACCTTGTAAAACCAACACACTTTGAACATAGAAAATGATTCTTCCTTTTTCACAAATCAGAGATTTATCTAACTGTGAAGTAGTGAAGGCAATGACTGAAGTTGGATGGGGAGAAAAAAAAAAAAAAAAAAAAAAAAAAAGAAAATGTACAATTCTTCAAAAATGTCAATAAAGGAAACATCAATTAATTGTTTGATGGTGACTTGAATAAGCCAGGCATTTTAATGATTTAGGGATGCGGATATCATTTCAAATGTCGTAAGAACAGAAGAAGCAGAGAGTGATACAAGTAAAGAAGATACTGACAATTATATTAATCCCAAGACAGAAATGGCTTCTGTTTAAATTCTATTGGAATTCATCTACCAAAGGGGATTCAAATACAATAATAAAATAGTACTTCATAATATATGCAGTGAAATTCAACAAATAATAAAATATTCTCAAAAAACAAAATAAAATTGCTAATTTTTTTAAGAAATAAGCACACACAATATGCATGTAAACTGATACTTTGGATTATCCATGACTGCTTCCCAACATTAGCTTGAGCAAGAGTACACCATAGTTGTTTTCAATCAAATCTTTTATATAAGAAATAACATACAAGCAACTACCTAATGCAATGAAATACCTATTTTGTTGATAGCAAATTTACAATGCAAGGTGTTCTCAGAGAAGTACCAAAAAAATAAAAGTTGAATGCCTAGAATTTTAAAACAAAGCCTTAAGTGCTGATTTGAGTTAACAAAAAACTTAAAAACAAAGTTACTTAAAATTCATCTGTCAACTTAAATTTTTAAACGCAAACGCAAAATTCAGCTAAAGGTTTTATATATTTTTTTTAAATATAAAATAACTTCATCTGCTATCACTTCTAATAGCTTAATGACTTTTTACTATATTAGTCAAGTTATTTTCTAATATATTAGTTAATTAAAGATTCTTAGTAGTCTGCATTTTAGAAATAATAGAAAAAATGTTTACAGGAAGATAGTTCAGTAAAATGTTTTCTTTTCCTTAATCATTGTTAATTTAGCATTCTTCTGTGCAGAAAATTTTGGAAATTTTAATTTTTTTTATATTCTAATATGGTTAATTCTAATATGGTTCTAATGATGTATGTTTCAATTACATACTTTGTTTCTTAATTAACCATAAAATTTTCTCAAGGTTAAACTTTGCAAATTATGTCTTATCAAAAATTGTTTTATCATTTTTATTATTACTATCTTTACTTTAATTTCCTTCCTCTTCAATGCTTTGAAAATATTAAGACAATAACGCTGCAAAATATGTATTTCCTACCTTCCATCAAATGGGCCAAACACAAAATTCAGCAAAAGGTTTTATAGTTTTTTTGTTCATTCATATCAAAATAAAAAATCTGATGTGTACACCACATGACTTCCTTGTACGGAATATTAAATTAAACACATTTTTTCTTGCATTTCATTTAAACTTACTGGATTGAATTAAATCTACTTCACCGACAGCGCATAAACCACAATAGAATAAATACATTCTTTAAAATTCACTCAGTATTTGTTTACCATAGTGACACTCTGGCACTAGATTCACTTAACAGTATTATATTTCGTTCATATTATAACTCAGAATGCACAAAATTTATATCATTTAAAGAATTATCTAATCGTTGCCACATGTTCTATTCAAATAATATAATAATGCTAGAATGATGTATAAACGAAATTAAGCAAACAAAACAAAAAAGAAACAGTTTTTCACAGAAGATTGAGTATTTTTCATTCAATTAATTCAGTTATCACTTCGCGAGAAGGCAAAAATACATAAAAACTCAAAATATCTATATTAAAAATTACGAAGTAAATCTTAAACACTTATCTCCTCGAAAAAATTCCAGAAAGGATTAAGCATGATTTAATTGGCAATAATAAATGAAGGCGTTATCTTTATTGTTGCGAAGCTAAGTTTCTCTAGATTGGCAACAAATCCACTAGTCTGCTGCTTCAAATGTAAACAATCAATGGCCGCCATAAAAAAAAAGGCTTAGCGGCAATTAAACAACTTTAAAATTGTTGATGATTCTAAAAGTATTGCACACAGATTTACTAAAGGCATAAAAACCTTAACCGAAAGATAAAAACAAAATAATTCAATCATTTTTAAAGCAAAAAATATACAATTTACAAACATAAGAAACTGAGATCACTGAGCCGGGTAACAGAGTGGATATATATATAAATATATTTATATACGTTTGGTGCCGCCGATTGCAAGCAAAATACAAGGTGCACATCTACATGTTATAGCAGTCCTATATACAAAATTTCAACGTTCTGAGGCTACTTGTTTTTGAGTTATGCGAGATACGTACGTAAGTACATACGTTCATATAGACCCACGAAAAATGCTCTTCTTCAGAATAATTTTAAAGCAGTTTATAATATTTTTTTTGGAGGAAACGAGTCTTTTATTCTGTCCTACGTACAGATATCACGCAAAAACATTGTTAAATTGCATTCGATAGCGGTCAAAATGGATATTTTCGTTCAAATGTGCTACCTGAAACTTTTCGTGATTACAATACTTCCTTTTTACTTCGTACAAGTAAGTAAAAAGTGCATATAAAATATTAGAGATCATGCAAGCAAAATACAAGGTGCACATCTACATGTTATAGCAGTCCTATATATAAAATTTCAACATTCCGAGGCTACTCGTTTTTGAGTTATGCAAGATACATACGTACGTACGTACATACGTTCATATAGACGCCACGAAAAATTCTCTTCAGAATTAATTTTAAAGCAGTTTTATAATTTTTTTGGAGGAAACAAGTCTTTTATTCTGTCCTTACGTACAGATATCACGCAAAAACATTGTTAAATTGCATTCGATAGCGGTCAAAATGGATATTTTCGTTCAAATGTGCTACCTGAAACTTTTTGTGATTACAATACTTCCTTTTTACTTCGTACAAGTAAGTAAAAAGTGCATATAAAATATTAGAGATCATACTGATAGATTCTAAAATGTCATGTTTTGGAAAACTTTGTTTTATTCAACTCATGTGGAGAAAAGCAGCAGGAAAATAGAATCTACCACCTTAAGGGCATTATGTGCCCTTTCACAAAACACTGTACTATGGCCTCTACAACAACCACTCACACAAATGAAATGTAAATGGGTAATAATATTCAACATACATTTATTTTAATTATATAACTGAAGTTTTATATTATATTGAATTGTATGACAAATATAGTTAAGTTATTTCAAACATATTTTAAATGTTTCATGCTTTATTTAGTGCATAAAACAAAGGATACCACACCTGTGAAGCAAGCTTGGCATTCTGAACTCTTAAGTCTGAAACTTCATTTCGCATATTGTCCAGCTGCTCATTCAGCATCCTGAAATATACAAGTTTTCAATTTAAATGAAAGGAAAAATATATATATATATATTTGTTTAAATAACAAAATGTGCTATATATTTATATATATTTAATTTGAATCAACTACTCAAGTAAATAGTAAAACTGAAGTTAATACACAAAATATACACATACACACAGAAGATTAAATAAATACATAACTCAAATTGTTTATCTAATACATTATCTATAATTCGTAGGTGAATTCAGAATTAGAAAGTTCTAAAATTTTTAATCATACACTTCAAATTAAAAATTAATTAAAATGTAAATTAACTTTTGACTACTCTTATATACAGTAGTATGGATGCTGAATTTATGAAGCTGAGTTAAATTCGATATTAAGCAAATGCCATCCAATCAAAATTTAATATTTAACTATGTCACAGGTTTGCCCCTACACTATCCAGGGTCAAGGAAAGGGGACTTCCTCACTAAGGCAATTTATTTTCTATATCAATCCACTGAATTGCTTATGTTTTTAACTTTTTTTTAGTTTATAATGTCTCTAACTGATGGCTTGATAATTCAGTAAAATATTGAACAGCAAAACAAATTACTGCTTTCCCTTTATATGGAAATAGAAGTAAATTATGTTTCTGATTACTCAGTGTATCACACATTGCAAATACTACTTCTTTTCAATTTTGAGTTGAAAGAAAAAATTAGTGACAGTGATTTGTAACAAGACACTTGGTAAAACGATATTTCTGATGCAGGTTAAAAGAGTGAATCAAACATTTCTTTTAATTATTCTGGCAATGGCGAAATTTACTTCTCTAGCGATTTTTCCTAGTTTGGATAATTTAACTAAGTTTAGAACTTTTGTGAAATTGATACTAGTAGTCCTTCTCCACCATTGCTGCAATCTCCTCTCACAGTGAATTCTGCTATTCATTGGTATATTAATGTAAGGATGAAACTCTAAAGTTTCTTCTTATTTTCTTTGATGATAACCTTCCCGAAATGATACTTTCTGAAACCAATAAATATATAGACTGAAGTATTTGAAACAGCAATGTACAAAGAAACAGCGGAGCAAGAAAATGGGGGAGGGGAGTCATAAACAGAAGATTCAAGTTTTTATCACTCTGAATATTTTACAAGAAACTGTGAAATGCTTGGTGACAATTATCAATTATATGTGCCTATTTTCTGAAGACATAATGGCTCTTACGTAGGGTCTATTGAATAAAGATTTATTACCTAATGACAGACTTACCTCCAAAACTAGCAGACACCCTTCTGAAAAAGCAAGTAGGTATGTATAAAATATTTAAACTTAGCAGAAAAGATGTTCCAAAAGAATTACAGAAAAAACATACTCAAAAAAGAAAAAAAATCCAGTCTACTAAAGAGGAAAGGTGCTGCATCATTAAAACGGATGATTGAGAAAGTTGTATCCCTGTTATTTACTACACAAAATCCTGAAATGTTTGAAATATCATTTCACAAGCATGAGGTCAGAAAAAAACCAAAAGTAGGAATGAAGTAGAGAAGGTGTTGACAAAATGGATCAACACCTCATCATGTATTCTTTCATCACAAAGGAGAAATGAAAGAAATATTACCAAAAAGTATTCTTTCATTGCTTATATAAATCACTACTATGGAGTTCCATTTATTTTGTGAAAAACGCATAGAAGAAAATACTATCATTTGAATTTTACATTTGACTAAGTTGATCAAAAGGTATGCAATAATGAATGAGGAAAAAAAAAAGCACAGCCTGGAATTTTGCTTAATCTTTTACAATTGACTAAAAGACATTTTTAGTAGTTATTGCTCGCACTGAAGAGAAACTGAGATCAACGAGAGAGTGCTTTGTGTGTTTACTCAAATAGAAACAAGAGTCAAAAATAGGTGCAAAAAGAAACTATATTTTTGTTCAAATTGTGAAGCAGAACTCTAATGATCTCCATATTTTACAATTTATCATACAAAAGCAGAATTTTTTAAAAAGATACTAAATTCCAGTATTAAAATATGCATGCTCTTTTCTAACATCCATTTCTGAAAATTGTTCTTTTCTCACAAAAAGTCAATTTTAAGTTAAAATGACATTTTTTTCAGTGTAAATAAAAAACAGTGTAAGTTAATAAATTCAATTCTTGCCTCAGTTTAGTCCACTGATGTGAACTTATATAATACATTTGAGTATGAAATTGTTTATGAAAAATGCACTTATTTTTGGACAAAATATAGCAGGGGAAAAAAACTGTTTAGTGGTTAAATAAGGCCTGCCAAAGATGTTGAAACAGAAAGAGAAGAAGAGGACACCCAGTAGGAAAGATGCTTATATCAACAGTGGGTATTTTTCAATCATCTATCATTATTTCCATTCAAATGTCCCCTTTTAATGGTCATTACATTTAAATTAACATTAAGCAATATCTTTAATTTTAATCCATAGATAGCCAACCCTGCATATTGGAGGCTCAGTCATTAGTGAAACAAAAATTTGTAATTGCATATGAATGAAAAAGACTAAATGTTGTAATTGCACATGAACGAAAAAGACTAAATGTTGTAATATGGATTATTTCCTATTGTACCACAAGAATAGCATTTCTGTTGCATTTTACATAGGCAAATTAAAGCCATAGTTAAAAGAATCTTTTGTTAGGGTCCCTGTATTTGTTGAGACGCTACTTTCTCAACTGACGACCATTTAACACAAAAAATAAGAAAATCTCTTAACGATTACTATAAAATATACAGTCAAATTATTTAAAAATATATTTTTTGAGTAAAAAATGGAATAGAAATTATAGTATTGATGAAATTATTATTAAATAATTTTACATAATTACGCACAAAAAAAGGACAAGGTTAATATATTAAAATTACACATTACTTTTAAAGAGAGATAAACTATTGATTTTCATTTATATAGAAATAGACAAATAGCACTACACATACTTTTCATTTTGAGCTTTCTCTTTTTTATAATTGGTGAATTCTGCCTGTAGCTGATTCATGGCACTTTTTGTTTCTTTCAGTCGCGAATCACCAGGTGAAAATGGACTAGAATTATTTTGCAAGAATGATAAGGAACCTTCAGGCTGACCAAGAAGTGACTACAAAATGAAAATATAAAATTATTTTTACATTATAATAAAATCATACAACCGAATATTATTAACAATAAAGAAATCACTAAATAATACAATCAAGTAATAATAATAATACTCTTTACAATAACGAAAAATCTTACATATGGATTGAAATTATTACACACACTGGTCAATACTGCACCACTTCATCTTTTGCATGAATAACAGCAGCAATAAGAATGGAAAGGAATATGATGAGATGCTGAAAGCACAATGCTGATATTGGCACTCAACAGTCCTGCAGTTTCCACCAAAAATCCAGCGAAGTATATACGATGGATCCATTGCAGGTATAGTGACGAGACCATTGCAACTCATCACAAAGTTGCTCCAGAGAATTCATATCTGAGGACCTTGGAAGTCAGATAAGTATTCTAACCTCACTCGTACCATTCTTCAACAATTTGTGATTCATGAAGTGGTACTTCATGCACATGAAAGAGCCTACTGCTCTTCGTTAATTAACCACATACTTATGGGAACACAAGTGCATGAAAGGATGTAAATAATCAGCCAGAATTTCAACAAAACACGCATTAATATTCTATCCAGCAGGATGAGAGATCCAATGAGGACAAATAAAGATGTCCTCAACAGTTGTGCCACCAATACTAGCCTGTACAGTGCCTGTCTCTTCCAATGGATGCAGTGCTTCATGTGGTTTATAGCACACACAAACTTTATCATCTGCATGCAGCAGCTGGAATCTTAATTCATTGAAGCAGATTTCAAGTTTTCAGTCTTTGACTGTCTAATGGTGAAGCGATTTGGCAATATGCAAGCACAGTAATCAACGCCTTCCAGCTAGAATTGGAACTTGACATGGGTATTATTTATTCTAACCAAGCTGTACCAGTTATCAATAAACAATCCTTGTGCAGAAGCTGGATGAAGCACCTGCATTAAAATTTGTCATAATATGATATAAGGCTGCACTTATTGCCATTAATATAAAGCAAGTTAAGTCTCTGAGCACCTCAGCATCAATTGCTGGTTTATGGCCACATTTTGCACAATTTACATCGCTTTATCCAATTTTATATTGCTCCTATTCCAGAGTATTGTACGACATGCTCAGCAGTTCTGTGGTTGCTCATATTTAACAACCAGTTTTTAGAGTGCTAATAATTTGCCTATGATCAAAACTACTTAGATTGCTACCTTTAGTGATAATAATAATTTTTGGCATGCCAATCAAAGCTCTGATATTATATTTTGTGGTAGTGATGACATCCACAAGTCTAGCAAATCACTGGGGCCAACGTGCTCATTTACAAGGTTACATCACAGATGCATATAATGATTTGTCTTTCTAATGCATATGTTATACAGTTCAAATGCATTATACTGAGTTTGATATACAATTATGTTCAGTTTCATAATACGTTCTAAATCTGACACAACTGCATTATCATTACAGCTAAAGTGATTTAAAACAAACTCGACTCTGACCTGAACTTGAATTCAAATTTTCAAGAATTTTTTTAGTCCACAAATTTTAAAAACATTAGACTATCTACCATTTCTATTAAATTCAATAAAAATCTTTTGGAACTCTGCTGTATTCAACAAATATATAATTTGAAAAATAACCATATCCTGTGATTAAAGAAACTCAACCATTCCAATTACCAATTTATGTCCTCATTTTTTTAGATATTCTTTGTTAAAAAATGAATCATATTTCTGTGGCAAGAAGAACTTACCTCAATGAAGAATTTTTAATATGTTTTGTCAATATCTTTTTTGTTCATATTTTTTACATTCCTTGAGAGTAAGGTTCTTTATTAAGATCAGACATTTTTCAATTTTTGCAAATATGTTGATTGGAAATAGCCCTATAACAGCAAGAGTTGAAAACAATCATTTTAAGGCAAGTGTTAGCAATCCAGTTAAAGTACTTTTTTTTCCCTCAGCAGATGACGCTAGGATCTCCACTGAGTGACAGACTATTAACTTTTTTTTTTTTGTTGTTGTTGTCAGGCCTTCCTCAGTTTAGTTAGCTAGGCTTGTTCTGGTATCTGTATGTAGAAAATGTCGAGTTAGGTCACCTAGACCATACATTTTATATTTATGAGCTCTCTGCATTGCATCATTTCAAGACTATTCTATGTCACATGATTCTTACATAATTATGATAATGTAAATGGACCTAAAACTCAAACAGCCAATAGTAATTTTACAGCAATATTAACCCATCTAATCAAAATGCATTGAGAACCAAAACTAACTCAGTATGAATTAAAATTTCACTCTGAACATAACACCTTGCTTTCCACGCTTCAGCCTAGCTAGACTGCTGTCTGTCTGCTGCTGCTTTCTTGCTACAAAGTTATAAAAAATGTAAACTTTTTCGAATAGCACAATTAATGTGCCAACTTGATTGTGGCCAAACATGTTTACTGAAATAAAAGTTAAATTAAATATACCTTGACTGCCAAATTTCTTATTCTTTGTGGATCGGCGTTTCAGCATTCTATGGCATCAAAATTCTACCTGTTCATTGTGGATACAACCACCTGCGTTCTACTACATAATCTATTACATATATATATATATATATAAAGTGCTGTAGTAAAGAATAGCTGGTGAATATATATTTTCATTCAATGTTTTTATGTGATGTGCATGCCAAGATGCAAAAATGCTGGCAAAATTAAAGTGTGTGTTATTCAACATATGAAGATCTCTTTTAGAACTCAGACACTGCCATTATAAGGTATTTATCATGTCCTTTTAACAATAAAGAGGTAATTAAGTTTTCATACTTAATAATATAAATTATAATTATCACCAAACTGCCTCTATCAATGGATTCTGACAGTTTGTCAAAAGTAGTTGACAACTGATTACAACAAGATTAACTTTCTGCATAACAAAAATGGCTGTTCTTTCTCATATAATTTCACTGAATTAATTAAATTAACATAGTGCTGAAGACAAGCTAGGTAGGGAATGAATGATGGAAAAGATGACAAATTCAAAAACAAAGTTGAAGAGCACTGAAACAAAAACAAAAAAAAAAATTTACACCAAATAAAGTACAAATAAAATTGCAGATAGTTAAGCTCAAGTCACTTAACAGAAAGGGGAAGAAAAGTTATTTTGTCACTACTTATGTGCTAGATGAACTAGGACATTTTTAGTAGTACAACATTTTCTTCCTCTTTGTGTTATGCTTAACAAGCTGCATTTTATTTGTATTTTATCTCATTTATTTTTATTGCATTTACAAGTTTTATCATTGTTTCTATTATTTAGGATTTCTCAACTACACATTCGGAATTCACTGATGCTTCACATACACACACATAAAAATTTCATGAATAAATTCTTTTGATAAAAATTACATATCCTTTATATTTTGCAAATTTTCATAGTTATAGAAATGAACATTATTATCTAATAACAAAATGATTTTCACACTAAATTTCATGGTTAAAAGAATTATAAACTTACGAAAGAAATATTACACATTTTAGTTACTTGTATGTTATCATAAGCACCTTAGTGGAATTCCTCAAATTTTCAGAACGTGCCAAACTTTGACAACCATGGCCATTCTTCAGTCAACTACACTCGTAATAATTTTTCAGTCAAGCAATATCGCCATTTTATTTCCTTTCTTTTAAGTTTTAACAGTTTTCATATGCAAATCCTGATACTATTTTCCTTTAAATTTTAAAATATGCAATTGCAGAATTTGTTAGCCTTGGAAGAAACTATGGTAAAATTAATGCAGGAGTACAGAATTTTGGCACAAAATTGCCAAACAGAACAATGAGGATGTGTATTTGGTATATAGCTGGTATTTCCAAAGTTTGTGCAATGCCAAGCCTCAGCAATTCTCTGATTTTTTTAAAGCAGTAACACATTGGCTTACTTGCGCAGAAAAACAGCACAAAAAATTACAAAAAGGTTCGAAGAATGGTAAGTTTTTTAAAGTACCCCATAATCCTTATTTAATATTTAAAATTTAAACTGTTAAAGTATGTTTCCTTTTCACAAGCTGATAATGTCTGGTGACTTACAATAAATATTGATAGTTTAGGGATCTTTTTAAGAATTCACAAAAGCACAAACTTGCACCTGATAATTAACTTTTAACATCTATAAAAAATTGCCTAAATTGCGCCAAAGTGGTTGTGTTAATATGCAAGTACCAATTTATTCATAATACAGAAATTTCATCTTATAAGTTAATTATATGAAAAGGATAAATTCAAAAACCTACTTCTGAAAAACCTTGACTTGTCAGCAGTACTCGATACATATCTCTCTGGCGAACAATAGTTTCAAGCATTTCAGATTGCTTTGCTCTTTTCTTTTGTAAATCTTCTAATTGGCTAGAAAGCGTAGCAATATCTTTTTCAAATTTCATGGAGCTGAAAGAATAGAAATAATGTTACAATAAACTATTTGGTACCTATACTGCACTACCATAAAATGTATAAAACCACAAATAATAACTGCAAACTGTGAGAGTACAGTTTCAAGAAAATTTATACATGATAAATTGGGCCTTACTAATTCAGAAGTCAAACAACAAAAATCAGCGTTATATTTTCAAAATTTTTATAGGACTAGTTTCGATGGTTTTACCAAACCACCATCCTCAGCTGCAAAATTTTTTGCGGTTAAAATTGCATTTTTGCGGTTTTGCAGCTGAGGATGGTGGTTCGGTTAAACCATCGAAACTAGTCCTGTATAAAAATTTTGAAAATATAACGCTGATTTTTGTTGTTTGACTTCTGAATTAGTATTTATTCGGTGTGTTATTGTGTCTTAATTAAATTGGGCCTTAATTCAAATAACATTCAAAATGAATACAGATAGTTTGACCCCACCCCCGAAAAAAAAAAAGACTGTGTAAAGTATTTGCGTACTTACAGCAGTGGAACAAAATAAGGAAAATATGACAACTTGGAAAAGACCTATTTTGAAGAAGATTTTAAACTATCCATGATGATGGCTCAAGTCAAACTTGGATTTAAAACATTTTAAAAATATAGCTCATATGTACATAACAAAAATGACTTATCTTTCCATGTAGTCAACCTGTACATTAATCCCAATGTTTCATCAAGGTTCAGATTCCAAAAATGTACAAAGATTTCTAAGCATGTTAGAACACTGTTGTGTAACGGTATCTTACATTTAAATTAATAAACATAAGAATACATCTTTGCAAACAGACTGTCATTCAACTTTTATTCAGCGATTTCAACTTTAGAACACAACACAGCAAAAAGCAAAGCATGAAAGATACAGTTAGCGTTTGCAAGAATGCAAAAATAAAATGCGAGCTGTGCAAGCGAACTGCGCTTGGCGAAATAAGATCTCACAGACAGGCAGACGATTTGCTGGCCGAAACATTCCGCCCAACATTAAAACATCGTTTCAGATCTAAATACCTTTTCGAAAACAAAATTATCATAACAATATTAAATTATTCAAAAAAGGTTTTATTAAAATATCTACAAGAAAGCATAATATGAAATTATGAAATGAGACTAAACTGTTCTCAAAACAGATGCACAGAAGCCTTGATACAATTCAGAAACATAATTACTTATATTTAAAGCAAAGTACAAAGCTATAATGCTTTACGAAAAAAAAACTTAAGCACTGATAGGCAAAAACACTAAGTTTGTGAACTGGACTTTTGAAAACTCTGATGGCAGTTTTGAGCTTCACGATACGCACAATATTATCTGAGCTAGGAAAAACTTCCACTGGTTTTCCTCTTCGAGATACAAAGTGCTTCAAAGCGGCAATAAATGATTCTGATGTTAGATTACCAACTAATTCAATATGTATAGCTCTTGTAGTAAAACACACGAATACACATATGTAGCGTTTCATTAGTTTTACTCCTCAACCTTGCCTAGGCTTCACTTGAAAGGGCCCAAGCATAGTCAATTCCAACCTTGGAGAAAACCTTTGACAAGAACGACTCTAGACGATGGTAAGTCCGACATTATCTGGGTATATATTTCAGCACGTACACAATGACATCTTACACATTTCCAAATCTGTTGTCTTATAACTGACCTAGCATGGATTATCCAATATTTTCTTCTAATCACCGAAAGCAATAGCAGGTGGCCAGCATAAAGGTGGGATTCATGAAAATGATTCACTATAATCAGGGTTATGTGATGTTTCTTAGGCAACAAAATAGGATACAGTATAAATAAGTCCGTAATCCGGACTCATCGGGACTTTGGCGTTTCCGGATTAGGGGTTTTTCCGGATTATAGATCATCAATTTAAATGTGGTAAGATGGCATGCAGAAATTATACAATTAAAAATATGAAATCGTACTTTATGGAATAAAGCATAATTATGATCTAAAGGGTATCAATATTTACAAAAAAAAAAGCTTAATATTTATTTGTTTATGTCATTAAACATTTCTTTCAATGTAAGTTGTTTAAGATGCTTCCACAAAAAATTCAAAAAGTTCCTTTTTTTTGTGTCATATATAGTGGACTTTCCAATGCCATACTTCTCGCTTAATTTTGAGACGGATAAGCCTTTATCCATTTTTTGCAGCAATTCCACTTTTTGTTTAACGGACATCGAAACATGCTTTCACTTTGTAGATCCTTGGCAGCTCCAGAATTGGAAACTCTTTTTGACATAAATCAAAAGTTCAAGCTTAATTTTTATAAAATTGTTCTAACAGTCTGCAAAAAATAATAAGTCGGATCCATTTAGAAGATTAAGGAACAGTGCAATCTGCAATATTAATTGAAATGCCTTAGACAATTTTAGCCTAGCTTATACCGTCCATTATACGTGCAAAGTTTGTAGCTTTGAAGTCCGGATTATGGATGTCCTGATAACAGACTTTATACTGCATTTTCTGTCCTGCGCAATGTTGGCTTGTCTTAATCTTTCTCTGACGCGTACAAGTCCATTCTTACTGATAAAGGGATTCAAAGAAAGGGTCTTATTATTTGAGTTTAACGGCTGGTTCTTCTTCAGAAGATTATATTCATTCAAAAACTCATCCCTTTGAACTAGTCTAACAACTGCATTTTTAGCGTATTGCAATTCTTTGATTTTAAGGTAACCCTTAATCCTTGTTGTGGTAGATTTAGCTGAATTATTCGCAAACCGAAAACACCTTGCGATGATTCTTTTTAAGTTTCAAGAATGATGAAACTTCATTAAGGACTGGAATTTGAGAAGAAACAATTTTTCATTGTTCTTTTAGAGACAAGAAACAATTTTTCATTGTTCTTTTAAAGACTCTTCTGAAAATGGTAAGTTGATAGAGAATGGAATATTATTTGAATTAAGCCACTGAGGACCTGCCCACCATAAGTCATGAGTAGAAAGTTCTGAAGGCAAAAGACCTCTTGATGCGCAATCAGCAGGATTCTCTTTTCCTCTCATGTGATTCCAATGTGATGATGGTAAAACTGAATTTCTGAAACACGGTTGGCTATGAAGGTGTCAGTGTGTGTGTTCTGATTGTATCCATGACAAAACTATCTGAAGAAGGACATCAGAGATCACAGATGGCCGACCTGTTCTTTGCTAGTAATGAATATCGGTCCTACCTTCAGAGAAATGATGACACCATTTTGTTACATTTTATCGATTGATAATGTTCCCATAAACAGAAACAATTTCTTTGCGAATATCCGCTGGTCGCTGACCTTTTGCATGAAGAAATCATATGCCGGAGCGCACTTCGCATTTGGCAGGATTCTGAATCGGATCAGCCATTTTAATCACGACCTACTCCAACCAGAATCAATGTTGAAATGCCGAACGACCGCGAGGAGAAAGCTAACGGTTCAACGTTAACACCTGTGTTGCCAACCTGCTTACCAAAACTTTTCTTTTCCTCCGGCGTACGGTGTATCTTTACTTTTCGAAATGCCCTCGTAACAAGTAAACTCGTCGTGCATTGGATACCACTCCAAACCCAATAATTTTATTAATTTAATATCAGAAATTGTGCATGAAGAATTAGCATTCTGAGCATTCAATGCAGTTTTTAAAATCGAGCAATCATTTGTACACCATTTATGCAATTGAAAGCTACCTTTTTATAAAAGGTCACTCAGTTGTGAAATTAACTCTACTACGTTCTCTTGAGTGTCAACCAAATAAGATATCATCAATATAACAATTATGTAACATTATCTCAGCTGCTTTTGGAAATTTAGCACCTTCGTCAATTGTCAGTTGTTTGAGTATGTGAGTAGCCAGATATGAAGCTGAAGTACTGCCATACGTAACTGTGCACAACCTGTAAGTTTTAATTGGCTTGAATGGATCATCTCTCCACAATATTTTTTGGTAATCACGATCTTCATCATGTCATTTGAACATCATTTGAACTTGTCGATACATTTTCAATAAGTTTGCTAGTAATGGCTATGGGATAGCATCTAAACCTCAAAAGAATAGTAAATAAGTCATCTTGTACCTTGGGACATTCATTAGTGTGTCATTAAGTGATATCTTTGATGTAGTTTTGGCACTAGCATTGAAAACGATGCATAGTTTTGTGGTAAGACTCGATTCCTTTAGCATCCTTTAGCACATGATGATGAGTGTGTAGTAATGCTCATTTACTTTATCTAGATTATCATCGGATAATTCTTCCATGTGTCCAAGTGATAAATATTCGGACATGAAATCTTTATATTGTTGATATACTTCAGTAGTTTTTATTAATTTTTATTCCAGACTAAGAAAGTTGCAAAAAGCTGATGGTCTGGAATTACCTAACTCGTTTCTTTTAGGCTTGAATGGCAATTTTACTGAGTAACGACCATTTTCACTATGGATGTGATTTTCCACAAAATGGTTTTCACACAATCTTTCCTCTTTAGTTAAATTTTTTGATGTGGGAATTTGTTAAAAATCCCAAAATGATTTAACTAATTCCTCCGTGTTTACATTTAGCGTATTGACTGAAACTTGCTTAGAGTATGGGAATTCAAAATGTGTAGTTCCAGCAATTACCCATCCTAACTTAGAACAAAATGAAAATGGAAGATTTTTTACCCTTTTAATTACTTCTCCATTGATTAAAGTAAGGAATATGTTAACTCCCAGCAAAATATCAATTTCTCCCAATTCATGAAATGTAGGATCTGCTTAAGTTAAATCTTGGAAGTTTTAATATAAATTCAAAGGTAATGTTACACTCGGAATATTTCCTGTAATTTTGTCTAGAAATTCTGTAGCTAGTATTAAAATGAAATGTAAACAACAAGTCCAGCTTCTCCTGTAGTAGTTGTATTGAAGGTTTCTATGCATGACACTAATATCTTGAATCCTTTATGCTCAATCCTAAATTGATAGCTGTTTTCCGACGAATGAATGATTTTTCACTACCTGAATCTAGTAAATATCTACAATTTATGAATTTATTTTTTGAGTTTTGAACCTTAATTAAAGCAGTACACAAAAGTACATGACTAAGTTTGCCATTAGCATGAGCTCCAAAATGGCAATTTTCAGAGTTGGTTGCACAAACAGTTGGAGAAACATCACTCAAGTTGTTTTCTGTTTTTATTTTTGATTTCAGAACAAATTTCTGAAGGGAAATTTGATGCATTTTTTGGTTTGAAATTATTTTCTAAATGCAAAATGCTTAAAACAATGTTTACAAGTATTCGCACTTACACATTTTAACTTTGTGGGAATTAGACAAGCAATTAAAACACAGTTTATAAGTCTTAACAAACTCTATTCTTTTTTTGCACAGCTAAGTTTAAAAAATTAGAACACTTGTGTAAAAAATTATCTTCTTTACAAAATAAGCAAGTAGAATTAGAAATCAGAGAAGTAACCCTATTATACACTGGTTTATCTGATTTATGCGTTTTACTAATTAAAGGTTTACTGTTCTGTAATGTTCTAGCGTAATTCTTCAAAAATTCTATCAATTCATTCAACTTTGATATTTCGACTTCGTTTAATTGACGCTCCCACCACAACTTTGTCGAAACATAAAGTTTTTGCAAAATAATATACATCAACAAAGTATCGCTAAAATTATTTATCTTTTGATATAATATTTCAAATGAGCGAGTTATTTCGTTTACATTATGTACTAAATTTAACATCGAGGATGCAGATTCCGTTTGTATTTGTGAAACGTTAAGAATTCTTTTGATATAAGCAAATATTTTTTCTCTTTTATTAGAAAATCTTTCTTCAAGTATATTCCAAGCAATACTGAAATTTTGATTAGCTATGGGAATTGACTGAATAATACGATAAGCATCATTTTTCAAAGAACTCTTTAAATATTGTAATTTGCGAGTTCCAGAAGGATTTGGATCGTAGCGAACACTAGCGTTAAATAAATTTTTAAATGTTATCCATTCGGTTAAATTTCTGCTAAATGTTGGTAAAGATAATTTTGATAACTTTAAACTTTCAGAGATTGATTCAGATACAGCAGGTTTGTCGCCATTTGCATTTACGACCTTGCCAATCTTTAACTTACAAATAATTTTTAAGTGAACCTTCTCAATTTTCTCTAAAATCAACTGTTCCTCCTCAACAAAAATGTCTATATTATCATCATCACCATTTGTATAAATTTTGCTAAACAGAGATTTGAAATCTTCTTTAAAGATTTTACATTTTTCTAAAATTAATTCTGCCTCAGCATTGTCTAAGCTATCATAATCTATTTTCTCAGTGAATTTCGTTAACCGTGTTTTCAAAACTCTCTTCTATTTTTTTCCTATATCTGACATTTTGAAAGTAAATAAATAAATATTAAGCTTTTATTGATACCTTTTAGATCAGAATTGCTCTTTATTTCATAAATTATGGTTTCATATTTGAATTGTATAATTTCTTCATGCCATCTTACCAGATTTAAATTGATGATCTATAATCCGGAAAAACCCTTAATTTGGAATCGCCTAAGTCCCAACGAGTCCGGATTATGGACTTTGTACTGTACTTTAATCTCAATAAAGCAGCAATAAAGAAATGTCAAATGCAATTGAAATGCGTTAACGTTTTCTCTAGCCTCCTACACTGTATCCATTGCGCAACTCTTGAGAATTCTAAACCGAAAGTGCATTATCTACAACATCATGAAGATGCAGAATACTTATTCACAAACGGGCCTTTTTCTCGTAGCTCCGGCGTATTGCGGAACAAATATTATGTTCCATTGTGGTATCTTAAATTTAAATTAATAAACATAAGAATACATCTTTGTGAGCGGACCATAATTCAACTTTTATTCAGCGATTTCAACTTTAAAACACAACACAGTAAAAAGCAAAGCGTAAAAGTTACAGTTAGTGTTTGCAAGAATACAAAAACAATATGCGAGCTGCACTTAGGGAAATAAGATCTCACAGACAGGCAGACAATTTATTGGCCGAAAGAAACAGTGTTTCCCAAATCCTGATTCATGACTTAGCACTGGATCATGAGAGCAAAACGCTGCAACACAAATAAACTTAATGAAATTACTAACCTTGCATATTAGGGGAACAAGATTATTTTATAATTTTTTAATAGACGATCATCGAGATTCAATAATTTAATGTCTTCATGGATGACACATGTTACTGAAGCTTACAATTTATTAATTTATTTCATAGTTCAGTTCTTATTTCTTAAAATTATTTTATTATTTCTACAATAAAATTAATTAATAAAGCAAATAAATAATTCTTCCCATCCAATTTCAGTAAAAAGTATAGCAGAATTCTTATTTATTTACTAATGTGATAAACTTCAATAAATTTTTTTGCCTCTATGATGAATGATCTCCCCAATTAGAAAATGATCAATACAATTTAGAAAACTTTTATAAGTGAAGCTTACTTATTTTCTAATTTATTATTTCTTGCATCTTATTATCCTGATACAACTCATGATATACTAAATCCTGCGATGTATTAGAATGGAATGCATAAAGTGCAATTTTTGAAATTTCTCACTTTGTAATGTGTCTCAGAATTCAAGTGGTTCTCCAAATTCAGCCAGCAAATTATCTCTTCTTTTGGATTTATAAATTCCAAATTACAATACTGCATTAAAAAAAAAAACTGTTTCATTACTCTATGTCATAATGGCATGATGTAGTGATGTAGATTTAATTTGCTCTAGATGAGACCAATTCAGTGCATTAAATATTTTCAGTTTCTGCAATAAAACTTCTTACTTATTACAGTCCCCTCCTGATTTAAATGTCCAATTATCAAGAAATCACCAAAGCATATTTCAAACCGTCACCAAATGAATGTCCTAACCAGTCCTAACCATTTTCACCGTTTGTCATATTAAGAATTTTGATAAAGGACACATTTTTATCAAACTTTTCTTTCTTCCTTCCTAAAACGGTTAACAGCTTTTGGTTTATCAAGCCATGTAGAGGATGCTATATCATTCTTCCAAGAAAAAGGCATTTTATCTTTTTGATATTTCAAAAATTGTAATGAAGATAGCATGTTCCTCCCAGATGTATAATACACAGAAACAAAACTTAGATAGTTTCAGATACCTCAGAAGAAACCTCAGATAGTTTCCTCTCCTTTGCAAAATATAGCAGTCAGTGCAATTTTTTATACAGTATTATAAAATATTGTGGCTATGTATACAAAACAGACTGCTGAATACAACTCTTATGACCAGAAATCTTCTGCTCAAACTAATGTTGGAAAAAATTAAATTCTTGTAGATATTTCTTATTCTGCTTAAAATAATAGATGTGACAAGGCCACAGAATGGCTGGTTATTTGGTGCTAGTTTGTAATTTATTGACAATCTTGGCACTATTTAAATAATCAAGGACATAATAATGACAAAATGCAGTCACTACTAACTTAGCAAGATTATCATTTATACCCAGAAGTCAAGAATATCAAAAAAGAAATATCACTTCCAATTTTCAACTAGTTGCCAACTTGCCTTGCAATACCATATTTATAAATTTATTGTGAATATGGTATTAACATTTAAAAATAAAATACCAAAAATATACTAAAATTATACAAACATAATGAGCTAAAGTACCTAAAAAAATTTCATGCAGACATATATTATTAAAAATGGTTATAATTTAACTAATTAAATTATACACATAATCAAAATATTAAAATTACAGTCAGTTTATTATATTAAATTAAATATTAAAGTCAGTTTCTTCCATTTTAAGTGGACAAAACCTATTTTCTTTCAGTTGTTTCCTGACTTTAAAATTAAATATTAAAGTCAGTTTCTTCCATTTTAAGTGGACAAAACCTATTTTCTTTCAGTTGTTTCCTTCTTAGCACAAAACTTAGCAAGCCTGCCTTTAAGTTCAATATTTATAAATGCAATTTAAATGTACAATAGTAATAAAATTTAGTACAGACTTTTGAGTAAAATTAATTAAAAAATAAATAAAATTCCACAAATTTTAAAATCATAAAATAAACTCACATGTCAGATGAAAGTTTCTTTTCCATCTCCTCGTGTTGCTTACTCAGATCTCTTATTACCATCAGGAGCTGCTGATTTTTCCTCTGTATTTCTACAATATCTCTGTAATATAATTTATAAGTTTATAAAAATAATTACAAAGAACATTAGCTAATAAAAAAGAAAGTACTGTTTAATAAATTATATACAGAAATCTGACTTTAAAATTTTTGTGGAGCATTTGAATTTTGAAGGCATTTGTTTCCAGTGAAAGTTAAATGCTTAATTATGTAACATTTGGGTATTTGAAAATTAATGCTGCATTATACTCGTAGTACTGATTCTCTTTTTATCAGTTGATAGTTTGATACAGCCTGGCTCAGTATACAATGCATTATTTTGAGTAATGTCTCTATGAATACACAAAACATTTAAATTTGAAAACAACTTATAAAAATTCTGCAACAGTTAAGAAATACTGCAGTGTGAAATTTATATACTTCTATGAGGTAATATCAGAAATATTTATGATAATATATCTTCCAAGCTTGTGAAACTAACTTGAAAGTTACTAAATGCCGAGATATAACTTTATCAGCGGTAATGTCATCAGTGGATGTCACTTCCTCCTCTTCTTCCTCGTGTGATTTATCATTGTCTCTGTGCTCAAGAATTGTTCTCCCTCTAGCTTCTTCAATTTCCTTCAGTAAAACCTGGACCTGTAAAATTGATAAAATTTAACTAATCATGAAACAAAATAAGTGACCTTAATTACAAATACAGTACAAAGTCCGTAATCCGGACGTCCATTATCTGGAATGATCTATAATCCGGACCTTAAAGCCACAAACTTTTTTTTGTATGCTTTATGCACACGAACTTAATGTAATACATGCGCGTTTAGCACAAAAAACTAAACAACTTGCATTGAAAAAAAATGTTTAATAAAGTAAATAAATAAATATTAAGTTTTTTTTGTGTGTGTGTGTGTGTGTGTGTGTGCGTGTGTAAATTTTGATACTGTTTAGATTATAATTTCTTTTCCTGCACGTAATGCATTTACGCATGCACATTTAGCACAAAAAACGAAGCAAACAACTTACCTTGAAAGAAATGTTTAATAAAGTATACAAGTAAATAGTAAGCTTTTTTTTTTTTTTTTTGTGAATTTTGATACCCTTTAGATCCTAATTGCTCTTTATTTCATAAATTACGGTTTCATATTTTTAATTGTATAATTTCTGCATGCCATCTTACCAGATTTAAATTGATGATCTAGAATCCGGAATCGCCGAAGTCCCGACGAGTACGGATTACGGACTTTGTACTGTATCAAAAGCATACAACTGAGCGATAAGAAATCTGATACCTACACAACAGGATTAAAGACAAAATCAACTATGGAGTCAACACAAAGCAAGGACTATTAGAATAATATCCAAATTGTATTTATATGTCAAACTTTTAAAGTACAGTTCAACATATAGAAAGTTCCTGAATTCATGAAACTTCCAAGGCAGAAAATCAATGCCCTCTTACTTGTAAGATTTTCTTCAATATCTGGCTAAAGCCTTTTTTGAAGTTTGACTGTGTATGATTTAAGAATATGAGTTTTATGTTATCAAACTGTTTATCTAAGAGCATTATTAATGACTAAGTTATCAGCTTACTAAAATAAAATAGGCTAAAACATTTACTTTGAATAATGCAACATGTGACCAATGGTTATTCCCTTTCCTTGACAGAGCAACAAATAATTAAGACACAATAATACGTCAAATAAATACTAATTCAGAAGTCAAACAACAAAAATCAGCGTTATGTTTTCAAAATTTTTACAGGACTAGTTTTGATGGCTTTACCGAACTACCATCCTCAGCTGCAAACCGCTGGTAGTTCGGTAAAACCATCGAACAAAGGACAGCTCCAAAACACGTTTTTACAGTCGTTAATGAACTACTATATAAACACGCTGACATGATCAGCGACACAGCCTCCAGGTTATCAGGCTATCATGGTGGAGACAGCTTCACGGCAAAGCACTAGAGTACAGCTCCCGACTCTGCTTGGTCATTCTTGGAACTCCACATACTCTCGAGACTCTCCACGCTACAACTCGCGATGCACTCGACGACACTCAGAGCACAGCTCCCGACTCTTCGGTTCAGTCGTTCCCGGAGATCAACACACTCTCTTGATGATGCACTAACAGCGATACACTACGAGACCCTTTTGGTGCACTCGACGACCCACTCGGCACTCTGCCCGGGTGTCAATTCGATTGACTCACTAGACGAGACACTGACTCGCTAGACGAGACACCAACTCGATACTATCTCGCACTTTACGAGGCACTCTCGACGAGACACATACACTAACTGACTGCGGACCAGCAGGGTTTGTATAGCTTTCGGCTTGCGTTCAAGAACATTCTGGGCTAAACCGGTAAGAATTAGTTCCAGAAGGTTCTCCATCCGTCCATGGTATATCGACAATTTTGTCGCCAAATGGGCGATTTCTGGCTGAATGTGGAAATTCTACCTTCCCTGTCATTTTATGGCAACCCTAAAACTGCTTTGCAGGGAAGCTACTTACTGGGCCTGTACATTTCGTAACAATATATATGCTAGAAAATGTAAAAAGCAACAATTTAATCAATAAATTTTGCAGTCAACACATAATTTTATCACAAATAAAGTGAAAGCTTAACACATAAACTGATTTTCAGAATATCTCAAAATTTCCAACTCGATACATGTGAGACAAAATGCAGCACCGGCTGATAAACAATAACAGCCAGTATATCTGACCACAATAAATGTATACATTTTAAAAGCACTGATTGTTGATTGGATTCAATTGTTTAGTTTAGGCAAAGCTCAAAACACTATCTGTCTGAGCTCCATCTCAACTTCGATTGACAGCACATTAGGAAACAGATCCTAAAAGTCTAGTATCCCTTCTCCTCTCACAATAATCTCTTGAAAGGAATTTCAGCTTGACATGATTTAAATACACTTATGCCATAAAAGATGCTGAATCACAAATATCTATGCTTTTTTCATAATAAAAATCTGCCATCTTTCATTGCTGGGTGAAAGAAAATGCTTCAAAAATGTAATATTTATTTATTGATACAAATGCCAGATATTTGCTACTAAGATATTTGCCTTGACCTTGCTTCCCAATACTTAAGAACAATAGAATTAAAAGATAATAGTGCAGTACATTCATCAATATGGTCCTTATTCATGGTCCGTCCAGAGTTACAAACAGTACAGACAAAAGAGTCCGTAAGTTGAATTTTAAAAAGATGGGCATTCAGACAAACATGCCCAGTCAAAAGACAAAATAATGCCATGGCTACAGGGACGAGGAAAATCTGGAATAACTGGCTTTGAACTAGTAAGACACTTCCAGACCTTTCTCTTAGCTTCATTTGATAGGTAGGAGACATAGCTCCTCTTAAATTCTATTTTAATTAGGAATTTGATATGCATATTTTCTTAACTAATGTTTCTGCTATTCCTGTTTGTGTATGCTACATAATTCCATAAGCACATGGGAATCATCATAATTTTAAGAAAATATACTAAATCTAAAAAATATCAATACATATCAATGATGAAAACTCATTATGAAACAGAACTGGATCTAACCAATCATTCATTAGTCTGTTTGGTTCTAAAATTAGTTACTATTTAAAAATTCTAAAAGTATTTACTAATGTAAGTAACAAAAAATAATTTACAATAAAAATCACTAACTCATCATTGTTAGCAACTTTACTTGCTTTTATTAACACTGTCTTATACCTAAAATTCAATTCATTCATCAGATAAGGCAGATCAACTCACAAAACCCACTTTTTTCTGAACTTCAAATATGCTGTTATTTCTGAATCAGGATAATAAAATAAATAAAAATTTTTATCTTCTATTATTTTTGTTTATCATTAAAATATATTGTCTAAAATTACAACCAGCATATAGCCTTAAGGCTATCACATTAGATAAAAATAGTAAAAAATATATCTTCATGCTTCTAAGAATAAATTATAAAATATTATAAAAAATACAATTATAGAATTATAAAAAATACAAAATTTGTATGCTTATTTTAATTTTATCAATAATTATTTACATCAAAATGCAAGAGGGTGATTTTTATAAAATTAAAAGACTAAAGTATACAAACCTGTCGGTTCAAATCTAAAACTTGCGATTTTAATCTAGAATTTTCCCGTTCTAATGAATTGCTTATTCTCTTGGCATCATTTCTTTCTTCAAGCATTTTTTCATAATCCTATAAGGAATAATGTTGTAATTTAACACAATACAAATTTTGTTTGAAAGAACATTATTGAAAAGAACCAAAACCAAATGCTTTTTGATAATTATTTTCCAAAATCTTCTTCCCCTTTAAAAGCAAAGAAGTAATGAATTAAAATTCTTCCTACAACAAAGTATGTAATACAGTAACACTTACAGCAAGGGCACTAGCAAGTTGACTTCTCAAACAGGTTATAGTTTCCTTTGACTTTTCATATTCTAGCATTCGCTGATTAATAATTGGAGTCTTTTCCTCAATTTCCTAGATAAAATTTGTAAAAATTTGAAATAACTTCATTTAAAGCGACGAAATCAGAGTGCTAGACGAATAAAAAAAGTGCAAAAGAAACTCACAGCTATAATATGTTTCAATTCTTGAGTAAGTTTAGCATTCTCATTTTTCTGCTGCTGTAATTCTTCTTGCACTCTAGTAAACTCAACATATAATTCTGTAAGAGTCATTCCGGAATGAAGCACTTTACTAGTAGCAGCTGCAACTGGAAACATGTTTTCTAAAGCATCTTGACTAAAGCCTAAGTATAAAAATAAATAAAAAAACTCATAAAGTAAATTAAGATTGTGAAAGGGACCTTTAAAGGTAGCAATACAAATTATATATAAAGCATAAATTTAAGAATAACTCCCTAAACAAGAAAACTTGTAAATCTAATAAAGGAAAAATTTTTTAATTTGTACTCAAAATTCACACTTACTCCTACTATTATTAAAAATTATAATACTTTTATTTCTAAAATTTAGTTTTTCTTTCTATAAATTCTTAAAGCATAACAAACTGGGGAAAAGATAACACATATTTTAAATAAAGTTATTAGAGTTAACTTTTCTATTTATGGTTTAGAACATATAGTCTTTGCTTTCAAATCAGAGAATACTTGATTTAAGTTCAGAAATTTTCCTTTCAACTTTTAAAATGGAAAAATAAACAGGGAAAAAAAGGAAAAGAAAAGGGTAAAGGAAATATTTTACATTTTTAATTAAACATCTTTTTCAAATTCAGAAAATTATGTCTAATAATTTTATCTTTTGCACAAGATTCAGCAAATTATGGTAGTTTATATTTTTAAAAAAATTTTAGTATAGATTAAAAAAAATTATAAGAGCACATATTAAAAAAACTTAATTATATTAATCTTTTTTTCAGCAAGCATATAGGCAGTATATGGACAAATAAGAAAATCTTCAGTGACTGTTGTCTTATTATGCATAATATTTCATAGCAGTTGTAGTTGGAAATGGCATCTGAGTTTCCCAGGATGAAATTCATTTTCAGTTGAAAGCTCAAGATTTCTTTTCAACAGCTGTATAATATATTTCATAACAGAATACTTTCCCTTTCCCACATTAACACTTGTCAATTTGACTGAGAGCTTGTAAATATTCAGCAATTCTATAATCCTGTAAACTGCTGTTAAAATCAATGTTTTCATTTCTAAAATTATTAAACTAAAAATGTTAAATCATTTCAAAACTTTATTTACATAGAACCATGTTTCAGATTGCATTACTCTAACTTTTAGCCCAAAATCTAAAATCATTCAAAAACAAACAATAATTTAATACATGATTATCAAACTTCTGACTTTATGCCATCATTTTTGCAATGAATTTAATTTATTGCTGAAATGTGAAATAAGAACATTCTGCTTCCAAATGCAGGTTAGATTAGGTTAACTGATTACACAAAGCAACTCTAGGGTTATCTGCATATGAAAAGGGATGCCTTCATGAAAGACTGTTAAAAAGAAACTAACTCGTATCTACATTACATTTGGGTAAAGCCATGAAAACCAACCATGCAGCCAGCCCATTTGCAAAAAATTCTATCCCGGGTCAAACTACCAGTATTCAGGAACTTTATTGCTCAGCCAATGGTTGGCCCTTCAAAGTGCAGAAAATTATATATACATTATACATACTAACAAAGGCAACTATATTCAAGACATTCAATTAGTTTCTCTGAGTTAGTTTGCAACTCAAAGAACTCTGCATTATTTCTGGGAATAAGGTCAGCCCAGCTGCAAGTGTGCTAGAATAGCACACTCACTCAACAGGTAAAGTTTGTTTGTGTCCAAATTACACAGAACATATTCAGGACAGCCGAGATTACATGATTTGAAATACTTGGAAATAAATTAGGCTCATAAATAATAAAGCTTAAAAAATCAACTAAATGTTTTCAAGAGCAACCTTTTCCCCTCCAAAAAAAAAGAACATAGGTATTTTAAGAAATATATTAAACATGTAATAATCTGAGACTCAAACAAAATTAAAATACAAACAAAATTTCTGAAAAAGATTACTAAATTAAAAATGTTTAAGAAATTCTCAACTATCTACACCAAGGATCAGCGGTCTGTTTACTAGATGGGCATATTTCAGAAATGCAGGAGTTCAGCGGGCATTGTGGGGTGGCTACAATAACAATAATAAATACATTTTTATATCAAAATTCAGTTAATTTATGTGGATTGCAAATAATGTAATATTCTATCAATCTGTCTTTGTTACTGCAAAAATGCTTATGAAAAAAATGTGGCTAGCCAAGTAAAGAAACTGTAAATTGCTGTTGCTGGGTTGTTGAAATAAATTGTTGACACAAAACAATCACCTGAAATAAAAATGATTTTCTTAATATTAGCCACTGAGAAAGCAATGTAGTCTGCATCTTTTTCTTACCTTCTAATTTGAAAAGACAAAAATGTACTCTACTTACAACCTAAAATATAAACTCATGAAGTAAAAGTTTAAGTATGAACAGAGGTTACTGCTGTAAAAATGTTGCATGTCTTGGTTGGATAGATTATGTGAAGACAATAGGGACAGCAAATAATTTGCTCTGTGCAAATTAAGATGCTTCTAATTGTTAAAAAATGATTCATTTAATCAATTTTAACAATTTTGATTAAATGACTTTAACATTTAATCAATTTTGTCACTAAGATTCAGTTTTTGTCAACAGTTAAACTGTTCAATTGGAACAATTGTCAAAATGAGCAAGAACTGTAACTATAATTAATTATTATATTTACAAGTGTTTGTTGAACAGATATTTAAATTTTAAATAACTGAATGGCAGGCACAGTAAAATTGCTCTGCAGGTAATGCCTAGCCAAACCCTGATCAACATAAAAAATTATTAATTGCTTATTTCACATGCATACCATGAGCAGCATCTTTAGCTTTCCTCAGTTCTTCTTTAAGTTGAAAAATTTCTTTCTGTTTAGCCTCCAATTCTTCCTTGCATTTGTTTTCAACAACCTGGCAGTGCTTTTCCATTTCATCGCAAGATTCATTTGACTCTCTGAGCAACTTCTGGGCTTCTTCAAATGCCCGCATAAGCTCCTCAACACGTTGCTGATTATCTTCACTTGCTTTCTAGACATGAAAATAAAAAATATCCATGCATAACATTCAAATTTTATGCAAAAAGTAATATTTAACAATGAAAATATATTAGAAAGAAATCTCAAAAACATATGATGCTAATTAACAATAAATATTACAAAATGGTCAAGTTATAATTATATATATATAAGATAAAATTTCAAAATCTTAATACATTGTTGTTACTAAAAGTTAAAAAGATAATAATCAATTAGATTTTTATTCTAAATTACCTAAATTAGTTGCCATTTTTATATTAAAATCATTTAAAATTTCTAATTATTACATATATTTGAAAAACATGATTTTCTACCGTGTTCTCCATATTTTCATATACCATATATTTCCAGCATAAAATGTGCACCTATAATTTAAATTATTTTTTAATTTTTAGGTTATTTAACCATATAATGCATACCCTTTTCTTTGTGAAGAAACCTAAAAGATAAATGTGCAATGCTTATGTCTTTTGAAATTACTCATTCAAAGATTTTTACCAGGCTTTCAACCAACGGTATACTGAATTGACAAGCAATAAAGCAAACAATGGAGGGGGGAATGCTTTAGGTAGTAAACAATTCTGCAAAGAGGGTGGGTTGTATTCAATAGTCGCATGCACAAGTATATTATTCTTACAGATGTGTACAAGAATGTTATTTGAAAAAAATCTGATGTGTACACCACATGACTCCCTTCTACGGAATATTAAATTATACCCATTTTTTCTTGCATTTCATTTAAACTTATTGGATTGAATTAAATCTACTTCGCCGACAACGCATAAACCATAATAAAATAAATGCATTCCTTAAAATTCACTCTAGTATTTCATTACCATAGCGACACTCTGGCGCTAGATTCACTTAACAGTATTAATAATTATATAACAGTTAACTTATATAATAATTATATAACGGAAACTAAGTTAACTGTTATATTATCCAATAATTATATAACAGTTAACTTATATATTTCGTTCATATTATAACTCATAATGCACAAAATTTATTTCATTTAAAGAATAGAATTATCTAATCATTGCCACATGTTCTGTTCAAATACTATAATAAAGCTAGAATGATGTATAAAAGAAATTAAGCAAACAAAACAAAAAAGAAACAGTTTTTCACAGACGATTGAGTATTTCTCATTTAATTAATTCAGTTCTCACTTCGCGAGAAGGCAAAAATACATAAAAACTCAAAATATCTATATTAAAAATTATGAAGAAAATCTTAAACACTTATTTCCTGGAAAAAATTATAGAAAGAATTAAGCATGATTTAATTGGCAATAATAAATGAATGCGTTATCTTTGTTGTTGCGAAGCTAAGTTTCTCTAGATTGGTAACAAATCCACTAGTCTCCTGTTTCATATATAAACATCAATGGCCGCCATTAAAAAAAGGCTTAGTGGCACTTAAACAACTTTAAAATTGTTGATAATTCTAAAAATATTGCACACAGATTTACTAAAGGCATAAAAACATTAACCGGAAGATAAAAACAACATAATACAATCATTTTTAAAGCAAAAAATGTACAATTTACAAACGTATAAGAGTAAAGAAACTGAGATCACTGAGCCGGGTAACAGAGTGGATATATATATATAAATATATTTACATACGTTTGGTGCGGCCGATTGCAACCAAAATACGAGGTGCACATCTACATGTTATAGCAGTCCTATATACAAAATTTCAACGTCCTGAGGCTACTCGTTTTTGAGTTATGCGAGATACATATGTACGTACATACTTTCGTACAGACGCCACAAAAAATTCTCTTCAGAATTAATTTTAAAGCAGTTTTATAATTTTTTTGAAGGAAAATAGTATTTTAATCTGTCCTTACGTACAGATAACACGCAAAAACATCGTTAAATTGCATTCGATAGCGGTCAAAATGGATATTTTCGTTGAAATATGCTGCCTGAAACTTTTCGTGATTATAATACTTCCTTTTTTACTTTGTACAAGGAAGTAAAAAGAGGAACACAATTTGGGATAAGAATGCACTTCCAACACAAATCAACATGCAGAATCAGGAGTCAGATGTTTACTCTTTATGTAGTCCTTTAAAGCTGTAATTTTGAAGTGAACATTAAAGGCTTTAGTAAATTAGTAGTGACATTTGCTTTAGTTGAACTACAGTTAATCTAGTTTTCCTTTTGGTCTCAAATTTGGCTCCTACTACACAAAATAAACATATTCCTGGTTTCCAATGCAAAGTTATTCAATTCGCAAAAGAAAATGGAAAACATCCTGCAACAAGGATGTCTGGTGTTGATGAAAGCTCCAACATGAATGGAAGAAAAATGAAATCACAATAATTAACAGGCCAAAGAATAAGTGTGCTTTCCTTAACCCGTTCGAGCTGGGTAGCGAAAACGTGCGCTTATCGCGGAGGCCGGCAGTGTCTTCCGCGAGCATCTCTCCAGGGCCGGGGGCTTTCTTGCTACTAAGCCTAAATCTATGAAATTTCCGAAGTATCAACGCATTGTTTAATAATGCTCTATAGAGTATTTAAACGGCTTATGCTTTATAGATATTTATATATATATACTTTAATTACCTCATTTCTTGTTTAAATGCATATTTTACACATTTTATTTTAATTACTCACCATTTTATGACTTTTAACATTATACATCTGAAAACTAAATATATTACTTAAAATTCTCTTTTCGTATGAAAAATTTGAAAACAGGGATCTACACACAGTCCTACGTTACATTCCTTGAACTCGTAATAACTCATTTGCCATTTTGGAGGGTTTTTTCCGGGAATGTGAACAAAAAGCATCGTCGTCTCATTTTCTTATCAGTCTCTTCTGAACAAAGTTTTGGAAAATGTCTTTCAGTTAATCTTTCAGAATCAATATCAGAATTTCAGAATCAATATCTGAAATATTTTGCATCATTTCTGCTATTTCATGCTCTGTTAAACATTTTCGACGCTTCGAAATTGAAACGGTAAAAACAGAAAGAATTCACATCTAACAAGATCTAATTATTTTCTAAAAACTGAACTGTAAACCGAAATACTCAACGCTTTAGCGCATATAAAACTTCTACTTACAATAAACAACTACCACGTGCGAATAAAGTGCGATTTAAAGAGACGTCATAAATCACGCCATTCGGAAACATTTAGTTCCCCGTTTGTTTATATAATCAAAAACACGTGTATGTGAGTCATACTTCTCTCATTTCGAGTAGAAGGTCTAATGTACATGTATCTGAAACCATATGGACATACAGAGCCATCTTGTGGCAGAAATTATAGTTTGAAAAACGTTCCAGGGTACTGGCACAAATACGTGACAGTCGGTAGTAAACGCAAAAATGCTCTGGCACGCCTGCGTGTCGGCCGGTAGGTAAGTGTGTTCGTTGCTGGCACATATACGTGACAGTCGGCACGAAGGGGTTAAAGGATGAACAAAATAGTCAATCTCAGAAGAAGGTGTTGTGAATTGGGTCCTAGAAAACCACTACGATTGATTATTTGTAACAAGAAACAGTATATATTTATTTGCCTTAAAGTGAGCAACAAAGAATGCAGATGAAAGAGAAAAACCTTAAAACAACTTGATGTAGTCAATTTATGGCACATAATAATTTAGTTTTATGAGATAGAAAAAAGGTTCACATAGGCTTCTAAAAGATTTGGACAACAAACTAAAATTTCCAGAAGTATATTATTGACTTAGAAAGCAAAAAAAAATTCACTATCACTTATTGGAAATGTGGATGAAACTCCATTAATGTTTAATGTGATAGGAAATAAAAATTTATGCTAATTTTTAAAAGGAAGACACTGCTAAAATGCAATTTCCTAAATGGTGTTTTCATTCACGTTCACAAGAAAGGAGAGATGAACATAAACAATATGAAATTGTGGATAAGAAATGTTTGTCAAAGGATCCTGTTTCTTTAAAGAATCTGGAAAGTCATTTAAGGTCTCATTCAATTGAAACATTGAGTGATCGTTAGTCGTGATACATCTTCAGTTGCAATTGATTTTGCTGTTTTGGTATTCAATTGAAACCGCTCACTCTGAGTCAATCGTTCTCGTAGTGATCACTCCAAACAAAGCATTCTGAAGCAAAAATGGTCGAATGAATATGGTGGCTGTGTTGTTTGTGCTTTTACGAACACAGAATTCAAGTGTGCTAAGAAAAATCCTTTAGATCTACTGGATGGGCAACAATTCATAAAGTATAGGGTGTATAAGGATCCTAGCAAAGGAAGCCGACTTATCATCTGTGTTGTATCCAAATTAAGGGCGCTTACTGCTAGTGGACATTGATTTAGCATTGTGTTGTTTATATTTGTATTGATGGATTGCAACCTAATTTCAAGAAATATAGGAGGATGCACTGCATCAAATTATTCATATCATTCCAGAAATAACTTTAATATGTTCTGTTTCCTGAGAAACGAAGAAATACGAAGAAAATGGGTAATTTATTCTCGTCCATTGGAATGGATTCCAAGCACAGAAGCGTGAGCTTTTGAAGTAAGTTTAGCTTCGTATATTTTCATAATTGTTAAAAAAATAAGTGTCCATGTTTGTGCAAAATGTGCATTTTCATTTAAGTATAGCTAATTAATGACAAATTGATTTATATCTACAAAATGAATTGCAGAATGTGCTTGCATAGTCAATACACAGATACCGACGTCGATAAGTCGATGCCGCTGTGATTTTTTTTATTGTTATTATTGCGAACGGATAAATATTAAAGAATTATATTTTACATTTGATTTCAATTTTGTGCATGAATATAACTATGAAATGTGCTTTTTATTTAAATTTTAATGTGGAATTCATGGTTTAAAATCGTGTGTTGTTTTTTTGACACTGTTATATTGTTGCCAAATCTTTCAATACGCCCCAATGTAAAAAATATGTAAACATCGGATGATATGATTAAAATTATGCATTATATAATGTTTCCTTTAAATCACATAAATATTTATATTC